AAAAAAAAAAAAAAAAAAAAAAAAAAAAAAAAAAAAAAAAATAGGTAGAAGCAACTCAAGTGTCTGTCAATGGATAAATAGATAAAGAAAAAGGGGTATGTACATATGTACAATGTCAGCCTTGAAAAGAAGGACATTCTGTCATGCTAAAACATGTTGAACCTTGAGGACGTTATTCTTTGTGAAATAAGCCAGTCAGAGAAAGACAAATACTGCGTGGTTCCACTTATGTGAAGTATCTAAAGTAGTCAAAGTCATAGAAACATAAAGTAGAAGGTGGTTGCCAGGGATGGAGAGAGGGGAAATAGGGAGTTAATGGGTACAGAGTTTCAGTCATGCAAGATGAAAAAGTTTTAGAGATCTGTTGCACAACATGTGAGTGTAGTTAACTCTACTGAACTGTACACCTAAAAATGGTTAAGATGGTAAATTTTAAATTATGTATTGTTTTTTTTTTAATACCACAATTAAACAAAACAAAACTGAGCGAAGACTCAACAGATTTGACAGTGAGGTGGAGACAGCAAGCCTGAAACCAAACTTCAGACTGTCCCTGCCCAGACTTTCAGGGTTCCTCTGAACGACTCTTAGTAATAGTCAGCTCTGTTCAGGGATGAGTAATCATCAATCATAATCTCATGAGAGCTGTGTAAAAAGTTGCAAACAACCAAAAAAGGGCTTATCTACATAAAGTGCATTTAGCTTTGGAGAAATTACTCAAGGAAATAAAGTTAAGATTTGGACAAAGCCCTTTATATCAAAAAGTTATAGTTTACACAGTTTCTAAAAATGAGCCCAAAGAGATTATATGACAGTAGAAGGGGAAATAATTGGCACGTTCTTGAAAAGAAATGGAGAAGAAGAAGAAAATTATTACAGAGGTGAAAACCACATTAAAAGAAAGTGACCTTCCTCCTACCACCAAAACAAACAAACAAACAAACAAAAAACAAGTAAAAAACAATACCAAGTGCATGATGTGGGAAGGTGTGAAGAAATCACACAAAACTCAATAGAAAAGAACAAAGATACAAAATGATTAATAAATAGATAAATATGATGGCAGCGGATTTAAACATAAGTAACTAGTATTCCTGAGGAACAGATCACAACAGGTAAAATAGAAAAAAAAAATTCTTTGAAGATACAGCTGAAAGGAAAGTTCCTGCAATCAGGAAAGGCTAAGAGTCTGCAGTTGAAATGACAGATCATGTTCTAGGAAAGGAAAATTGATACAGGCTACTCAGCACAAAGTCACGTTCTGGAAGTTACTGAACTTCAGGCATAAATAGAGTCATGGGTGTCCAGGTACAAAAACAAATTGTACAAAGGGAAAGCATCCCTTTGGTCATGACCTTCACTATGGTAGCAGCAGCAACAGGCTACAGTGAATTTGCATTTCTCAGGTAGAGTTACCCAAAGATTTTATATTCACATTGTCATCCAAGTGCAAAAACAAAAGACTTCCAATCATGCAAGAATTCAGACACCCTTGAGCTCTTAACCACTCAGCAAGGAATGTAAACAAACCAACTTATTGAAAAATCAGGAACAGAAAAGTCATGGAAAATAATTGATGGCGACCACTAAATCCATTTTGGAAGTTTGGTTACAGAGCAGAATGTTCATTAGATCTACAAATATATGAGCACTTCTGGAAGTTATCTTTTTTTTTTTTTTTTTTCCATTTGGTAGCTGGCTGGTACAGAGATCAAACCCTGGACCTTGGTGTTATCAGCACCATGCTCTAGTCAACTGAGCTAACCAGCCAGCCTGGAAATATGAAATATGAGAGCTGTATAATTGAAACACTTTCCAAAGGTAGAATCATTCTTTGGGTAGGAATTATTTAAACAGCCTTGCAAATAGATATAAACAAAATCATTCACAATATGTTGATTGTTTTTCTCTTCTGTGGATGTAAACCAGTTTGTAATTTTTCGTAGATGATAATTAGTGTATGAGTTTCTTAGGGCTACCATAACAAAGTACCATAAACTGGGTGGGTTAAAATGGCTTAAAACAACAGAAATTTATTGTTTCAGAGTTCTAGAAGCCATAAGTCTGAAATCAGGGTGACAGCAGGGCCATGCTCCCTCTGAAACCTGAAGGGGAGAATCCTTTGCCGCCTCCAGCTTCTGGTGTTTTGCCAGCATTCCTTGGCACTCCTTGGCTTATAGCCACAGCATTTCAGTCTCTGCCTCCATTGTCACATGGTGTCTCCTTTTAGGTATCGGTGTCTTCACAGGTTGTTTTCCTACCTGTGTGTCTTCTCTTCTTATAAAGACACTGGTGATATTGAATTAAGAGCCCACCCTACTCTAGTATGACCTCATATTAACTTGAGTACCTCTGCAAAGGCCCTATTTCCAAATAACGTCACATTCACAGGTAACAAGAGTTAGGACTTCAACATATCTTTTTATGGGGATGCAGTTCAACCCATAACAATTAGTATGTTATGTCATGATTATTATTATCTTTTGTGTCTCAGTGTCTTAATGGTCCTAGTTCAGTCTATACATTCAAGGGTCATTGATTTGTGTATGTATCAATATGCATATTATACGTACATGTACATATATACACATGCATATATATGTATAAAATTTTGCTATTTGTAATTAATTTTTTAGGTAAGACTTAAACTGTGCTTAGTGATGATAAGGCTTGTTGTTTTTTATTTTTCATTTTGGCCACTCATTAGCATCTTTATTATTTTGCAAAAGGTAATTTGAAAGCCAACGTTATTTCCTCCTTAAAATTGCATAGTCTGTTTCTTTTTTCTCATGTTGCCATTAGTTTCCATCACTTGTCTTGAAACATGACTATTTGGAACATTGTCTGGGTTACTTAGTGCAACTAAATTGTGCCATGGAAGGATTTTGTGTTATACTTCTAAAATCCATTGTGAAAGCAGAATCACTAATGTTTGGCTTCTAGCTCAAGGGCTTTGATGGGCACAGTGGTTGGATGTTTTTTTAGTATGAGGTGAAAAATCTCTCTGAAAAGTTGATACATTGGGACCATGCTTTGGTTTGTTTCTTCAGTATTTCCGAAGTTGCAAATAATCATGTATGCAGCTCAACTAGGCATTCACTCCAAAAATTTTTTTTTTTCCTTTTTTGTCTTTTTTGTTTTTACTGACCGGTAATGGGATCGCAACCCTCGGTGTCGCGCCCGCACCGCGCTCAGCCAGTGAGCGGGAACCAGTCTCCACATGGGATCCGAACCCTCGGCGGGAGCGCCGCTGCGCTCCCAAGGAGTGCGCCACCGGGCCGGCCCAACACTCCAAAATTTTAATAGTTGTTGTCTAAATTTGTATATCATTAGTTTTTTTCCACTGTTTAGATAACATCCATTTTAGTAGTCAGTCATAATAACTAGCTATCCTTATTAAAATGGATGATTTATTATCATTATGCATTTTATAATATATTTAATAAATACAAAAATATTTTAAGTGAATAAAGATTTTACACTGATTTAAATTATCACAGTTTTTATTGTATTGATAAGTTGTATTGTATTGTCATAAGTTTTATATTTTTATTATGTGTATTTTGTATTCATTCAAGGAAAACAAGTCTTTTGTTTTCTCAGGTACTGCATAAGCCGACCACAATATAAGACATCTTGTGGTATCTCCTCATTAATTTCTTGTTGGAATTTCTTATATAGCACAATGGGAGCTGGAAAGTAAGTATGTCAATTTATTGTTATCCCCAAACTCCAAATTCAAAAGTAATTTGATATTACTTTTTCTATAATGGAAAACTTTTAAGAATAGATTTTTTCGGGGCCGGCCCGTGGCTCACTCGGGAGAGTGCGGTGCTGATAGCACCAGGGCCGTGGGTTCGGATCCCATATAGGGATGGCCGGTTTGAGCGTGGTGCTGACGACACCAAGTCAAGGGTTAAGATCCCCTTACCGGTCATCTTTAAAAAAAAAAAAAAAGAATAGATTTTTTCGGGGCCGGCCCGTGGCTCACTCGGGAGAGTGCGGCGCTGATAGCACCAGGGCCGTGGGTTCGGATCCCATATAGGGATGGCCGGTTTGAGCGTGGTGCTGACGACACCAAGTCAAGGGTTAAGATCCCCTTACCGGTCATCTTTAAAAAAAAAAAAAAAAAAGAATAGATTTTTTCATAAATTAAGAAAAAATGGCTGTATTTTGTTGTAAGCCTTTTAGCTTAAAGTATATACATGTGTTATTTTAGAGAAAATAAAAATGAAAAGTATTACTAAAATTGTTTGCAAGCCAGATAGCCATATTAACATTGAGACAGGTTATATTTGCATATGGTTGGAATTATGAAATAAAAGTCAATGTTTCTTTTGCAGTCTTCCACCTATTACCCAAGAAGAGGCTTTACATATTTTGGGCTTTCAACCTCCATTTGAAGATATTAGGTTTGGCCCTTTCACTGGAAATACGACACTCATGAGGTATGAAGTCCCCACTTAGAGGAAATACCGTATTTCTAATTCTGCGAAATAATAATGCTGTAGATGGGTGTCTGATAATAAACCATGTATTCTGCTGCTGGGCCCCAATCTCTCATAGATAAGCCAAACTTGGGCTATGCCTGAATTTCTCTAGAATTGGAATAATGCCATTTTTGTTACAGAACTGATCCTATGAGCAAATCTTGTTATTTTCAGATGGTTTAGACAGATAAATGACCACTTCCATGTAAAAGGATGCTCGTATGTTCTATACAAGCCTCATGGGAAAAATAAAACAGCTGGAGAAACTGGTAAGTAAATACATAGAAGATGTAGACACACACACACACACACACACACACACACACACATATGCTTTATCTCAAAGATTGGCTGTTTTGATTCATGGGACATTATGCAAACTCTCAACACAGTCTGTTGTTTTTATATCTCTTTAACCAAGAGGGATATCATAATAGTAATCTGTAGGGTACTTTTCAATATGCAGTGTAATATTTTTACCTCTTCTGATGTTTGCATGTAGAACTTTTAGAACTTTAAGGCATGTCATAAACACTATCCTAACGCATTGTTTATATTGTTTGGATCCATGGTATGTGGTGTGTGTGTGTGTGTGTGTGTGTGTGTGTGTGTGTGTGTGTGTGTGCTGATAAAAACTCTTTGAGGAAGCAGCATGGAATTTGCAGTTCTTCTTCCTAAAAGGGATTGTAAGGATTTGAGAATATTTAGTGTTAGACCAGCATGATAACATATAACAACAGGACAGTAGACCATGAAAGTGTCAAAGTTTGATTATAAAATAGTCTTGGTTATAATAGATATTAATGAAGTTGATGTTAAGGATTATTTTAGTTATGTGCTAATTAAATAGTTTGCATTACTTAACAATTTGCATTTTTTAATTTTAACAATAATCTCTTGACTGTACAAATCAGAAAATTGTAACACTTTTTTAAAGAATAAACTATTCTGACAGTTGTTAAAAAGGTAAGGAAGGCTTTATTCAAGACTGTTGCAAAACGGGTGTTGCAGTAGGAATGACAGATCAGGCTCAACTCTGAATACAACAAAGATAGCTGGGAATTTAGAAAATTACTAAGAGGAGACATCAAGGGTAGGGGGATTCTTGCTAAACTGGCCTAACTGGCTTCCTGCTAAAGGCAGGCCAAGGGCTTAGGAACACCCAGGTGGCGGAGGAGGGACGAGGAACTGGATCAGATATCAAGGCTTGGGAAATCTCTCTAAACTGACTTACCAAGATTCTTGCTAAAACTTGACACAGAAGCCCAAAGTTGAGGTCTGTTGAGAAGAGAGCTCAAGGATTGGTCAAGGAGAGAGTCGTCGTCAACAGAGAGGGTATATGGTTTACCAAGGTCATGGATCAAATACAGAGAAGGACATATTTCTATTGACCTATATTGAGTATAGCAAGTTTGTTATAAAGTCAGGCAAACTTGGAGATTACATGTTGGTTTCTACACTTTCTAGTTTTATGGCTGCTGAGCTTCAGTGTAGACCTTTTGTCTGTCCATATTTGTACCCACTCAATTGGGTCACTGTGAAGATAGAAGAAGGCATATTTCTAATATACTAAGCACCTTGTGCTATGTGCAGTATGGATTCAATAAGTGTCAGCTTTTATTCTTGCCTACCGAATTCTGTGCATTTGCATGGGGCCTGGCTGTTCCTGTGCAAAAGATAGCCTGAAATGGTGTGTTGGTAGCTTTTGTTTGTTTCTGGTGAGGCTGTCAGTGCACCACTCTCAGCAATTGATCAGGCAATGAAAAACTAAGAAAGGATATATTTCCTGGTTGCTACTTTTCAGCTGTGTCTAGTTTGCTTTTTATACTGTCTATTGAGTTTGAGTTTTTAAAAGAATTTTTTTCATATTTTTTCACTCTAAAATATCTAGTTCTTTTTCAAATCTGCTTGTTTTTTTAAAGTCTCTTGTTTCTTATATTTTCACACTTCCTTTACTTTTTTAATATATTAAAACTTTTTTCTGTATTTGATCTAATATCAGGAATTTGTGTGTATCTGATACTGCTACCTCTTGTTTCTTCTGGATCTCATTTGAGGTGCCTTGCATTCCTGTGGTGGATTCAGGTGTCAAACCCAAGTCTGTCTAATTTCAGATCTCACATTTAATCATTTGCTATTCTGTTCATCCTGCTGTTCATTTCTTTCAACAGTCCTAGCACATTATAGGGCTATTATATGGTTATAATCTTTTTAAAAAAATTTATTTGGCAGCCAGCCAGTATGGAGATCTGAACCCTTGGCCTTGATGTTATGATGGTTAACCATTTTTATAGTTAACATACATCATTTTCAGCAACAAAATCCTGTACCGATAGAAACATTACTAAACATTTTTCCCAAAATTCTTTCTTTCCTTTGCACAAGTTTTCTGTTTGTTTGTTTGTTTTTTAGGTTGCTACTTTTTTTCTTTTTTAAAAAGTATCTGCTGAGATAAATATTACTGGCATCAATATTATTGAAATGATCTTATCATCAAGTCAGTGGGTTTGGGTGCACTTGACTTTCTGTAAAAGAAAATGCATAATTTGGTGTTATCTTTTGTTGTTCTTTTATGTTTATTTCCACAAGATAAGCTGAACCTTGTTCTGGTCTAAAAGATTTTCAGTCATTCTCCAGTTATTACAAAGTACAATATTGATTCTGTAGGGGAGAAAAAGTAATATCTTTTACTCACTCCTTGCAAGGTTTATGGCTGAGACCCCTATGAAAAAAGACAGATTAACAAGAGAGGGCTGGCTGGTTAGCTCAGCTGGATAGAGCATGTGCTGATAACACCAAGGTGCAGGGTTCCATCTCTGTATTGGTCAGCTGCCAAAAAACCCCAAAGGAAAACAAAACAAAAAACCCCGAGAGAAAAGCACAAAGCATGCAAATTTACTTACTATAAGTTTTACACGACACATGAGCCTTCAGAAATGAAGACCCAAAGACGCAGGGAAAGCTGTGTATTTTTGTGGACAGTCATGCTGAAGTATGATTGGAAGACAAAGGCTGTGATCTCATGATAATAAACTGGGCGAACTTAGCAAGGCCTGCTTCTTCAGATTCTTCTTGGCATCCCTGCGAGACATGTCTTTTTTCTGGTATTGGGCAGGACACCCGTCACATGAGGGTGTTCAGGGGAGAAGGAAGGAGAAGGTCAGAGTGTGAGCTTCCAAGGTTTTACGGCCTGCTGCAAGGCGGGGTTTGAAGGCATCCAAAGATCATATGTAAACAACTGAGTGTGGCTGTGTCCCAGGGAAATGTTATTGAGGGACACTGAAATTTAAACTTCATATAATTTTCATGTGTCCCGAAATACTATTTTTATTTCTAACAACGTAAAAACCTTCTTAGTTTGCTGGCCATTCAAAAACAGGCTGCAGGTTGAGGGCTGCATCTGGCCCCCGTACTACCCGCACTGTACGGCCCTGCCTCTCCCTTCCATCAGAACCCACGGCATCCTCCTGTCACTTCTCGGAGGCTCCCGTTGATAGTGTTTCAGATTTCTAGATGTTATGTGTTCCTAAGGGCAGGAAATGAGTTGTTACTCAGCTTTACATCTTAGTGCCTTTAACATTGCCTTCTACATGATAAATGCTCAGTAGAAGGTTAACAATATCCCAGAATTGTTCCTTAACTGATTACTGGGACTGCTTTATATCTCTTTTAATGGAATGCAGACCAAAATGTATGTCTGGGGATGCAGAAATAACCGCTGGAGAGAATGTCAAACGTATTTGTAGGATACATTGGAAAGCCACTGTAATGCACTTCTTGGGCTTGTGTCCCAAGACTGCCTGATGAGGAGCCCTGGGACATACTGGTTCAAGGCTTATGATTCCTTTTCCTTGCTCGTCTTGATGCCTACTGATTATAAGAGCATTTCATCAGAGCAGTTCATGGTTTTCTGTTGTATTAGTAGTGGCAGCATTGAGATGGAGTGGGAGGATGGACGGAGACAGGCCAGTGAAATGGAAGGAAATCAGGGGAAGCATGAGACCAGGGAAATTAGAATAATGAAAAAAAACACGATAGCAAAGAAGCTCTGGGCATAGAGGAAAACAGCAACTCTGTAAATTTTATTAAATTCCCAAAGTAAAAAAATGTAATTGTTTATTAATGGAATGTAATGAAATACTGAAAGAGCCCTGGAGAGAGCTGATTTAGGAACCAGTATTCTGGAATTTTAAGACTTCTGCCAAATGCCCTGTCCAACTTTAAGATTTTATATACCGTATTTTTATTAGAAATTCTCATCTGCAGGTCTTTTGAAGGCCTGTACTTTGTTTAATTTTCTTATAGTCTGGTACCTCCCAAGTTCTTCATGACTTATTTAAACATAATAATTTGATGCATATGTTAGCCAGTTTCCTTAATAATCTAGGATGTGTGTCATCAGGTCTCACTGACTTTTTTACCTCTCTATGTAAACTTTCTCCAACATTGCATTCAGTCTTTTTCATTTGAGAATGGCATAAAGGCATACATAATCTATCTATTTTCCGTTTAATTTTTTTTTTTTTTTTTCAGTTAAGGGAACAGGAATGATTGCTTAAAATTCTTCAAATAAGTTTCAATTATGTATTTTTCTAGTTTTATTCCTACTTTCATTTTTCTTTTAGTATACTTGACTCCTCACTGTTTCTTTTTCTATGTGTTTTTCCTGAAGGATAATTCACCTGCCTACTCCTCCTGGAATTTTCTTGTCTTCCTCTTCACTAATTAGTGGTTCCACTCAAGCCGTGCTCCATCTCTGAAGCGCTCCCTGGCCACTGAAGCCCTGAATTTCTCTTAATTCCAGTAGTAGTGATTATTTGTCTTTACCATCTGGCATTTGGCATATGCTATCTTATATTACGTTGCATCTTTTTAATGTGAATGTCCAGCTTTTTTACCATAGGGACTGTCCTGAATAGCCCTTTGATTGCATATATGGTGCCCCTCACCTCACACATGGGTCCCTGTAACTTCTGATCGTATTCGGGGGAGGAGTAGCTCATGTGTAAAGCAGATGTCTTTTCTGTTCTCTCTCCTTGGGGAAAGAGGAGTTGCAGAGAGAGGCTTTTCTCATTTTTCTCTAGGATATTTGGTAGTGAAAACCATTGTCAGTTGTTGATGTTTGTTTAAAAAATAGTTTGCAATGTGTCTTCTCTTTCTGTTTAAATTATTTTGTAAGGACGGTGAGGCCTGTTTTCCCCAATGGGCTTTAAATTTTGCTGGGTTCTGTGCTTCTTTGACTTAGTCATGCCACAGTACTTGCTGACATTTCCAGTTGGCCCTCAGGAGCTGTAAACTGAGCTCAGTCATGGAATAAACACGAAGTCCAGGGGTTTTGATAAAGTTTAACTGTTTATTAACATTAAAGCATTTTTGAATTGAAGCATTTTTTCAGAGATGTAGTAAGTCACAGTCAAAGTTTGTGCTAGAAGTTGCCAACATTAGCTGTTCATTCAGATAACTTCAAAGTATTGGTTCACTGAGCTACCAACATTTGTGCTGGGGAAGTCCAAATTCATTTTTTTAAATTAGCTAGCTTGAAAATTATACTTATGTTCATGTATATAATTTTTGTTGTTCTAGTAGGTATTGCAATTCATTACTTTTGTTGAACAGAGAATACCTATGTATGGCTTATCCCTCCATAGCTCATATGTACCCTCCCCGTGACCACTGCTACTGCTTTCTGTAGCACCTCAGCACATCCCAGGTGGACAGTGCACTAATACTGTTTTCCTCATGCACTCGTTCTCTCCAGCTCATATTAGACACAGTGCCAGATAAATCTCTTTAACACGCAGTGCTAATCTACCCTTTTCCTCTTTAGGAGCTCTCTAGTGCCTGCTTACACCGTAAACTTCTAAGTGTCATTTGAAGCCAATACAGATTGGCCTTCCACTGCTGTTCTACATGTGCCAGTTGTGTTTAAAAGATGTCATGGGGGTCAGGGCCTTGCAAGGTGATGTTATGTTGCTGGATTAGCTATCATAGTTTCAGAAGATGATCTTGTCTCCGAAGGTGTAAAAATACACTTTAGTATGTTCTTTTAGAGTTCTCTAGAGTTCCTCTGTAGATGATCAGGCCCTACAGGACAAGCTTATACTAAAATAAACTCAAGGAATATTGGAATGTATTAATTTAAAGTGATAAATATAGTACCAAAGGGGCCAGAATTCTCTCGTTGGCTGCTCGGGACATCTACACCTCTCAGCAGTGCAGCAGGCCAGCTAGTTCCTGTAGTTTTGTTCTCCAATCTCTACACTGTACCGATCAGTGTTGCTTTGTCACTTAAGTGTCAGATTTTTAGATATACTCTGGTATAGACTGAACTTTGTTCTGAATTTAGTTTCCATCAATAACACATTTATATGTCTTCTCATGCACAGAATTACTTTTTTGGTTGACTACCTTCATGTATTAAATGCTATATTTTCTGTCTTTTATTTCAGAGTGTGATCTTTTTCTGACTTTGTCCTGAAATTCTGGGGGTGCCCTATGGTAGGCTTCTCTCTACCCTATATTCTAAGCTAGATGATTTGCTGTTCCCTGATTTTATCCCTTCTCCTCCAGTGGTTTTGTTTTCTCCTCAAGCTCTTTCCTTTGTCTGGATTGTTGAAATCTTGCCACTTTATTAAGTTCCATCTTGAATGCCACCCCTTCTTAATCCTCAAACCTGATGTGCTTTCTCCTTTGAATTCAATACCCTTTTGTGGCACTGTCTTATTCCACCTTATATTAAAGTCATTTGTTTCATCTTCCCTGCTAGAGCAGCTTGAGGTACTGTGTATTATTTGTCTCTTGTTTCCCTGCAGTATCCATCAGATGGTAGAGTTACTAGGTGTTCACAAGTTGAATTAAACTAAATTTTCCTCTTAACTTTAGGCCCATGAATTTCAAGATGTGGTCCATGACCAACATCAGCATCACCTGGTAACCTGTTAGAAACTCAAATTCTTGGTCTCCTACCCCATACCAATTGGGTTAGACACTCTGAGGCTGGGTACTGGCAGTCTGTCATTTAACAAGCCCTTCGTTCTCATGTTTAAGAACTATTGCTGTAGCCTTACTAAGAGGTGGTATCCAGCCTCTTTTTCAAGAGCTTGGTTTTCCATTGATGGGAAATTCAGTGATTTTCAAATTGTACTCAATTTAGTCCCAGGGGTTCTATCAAGGTGTCTCAGGGGCTGGTGGGGGGGTGGGGTAGGTACCTAGATTCCCACCTCCGTTTTGGTCACAGCAGCTCTGCTTTGATCTTTTTTGTGGATTGGCTTGCCATGTAAATGTTCTCTGTAGAAGAAGTTCTGTGTCAAAAAAAAGCATGAAAATTATTGATATAAATGAGAGGTTGGCAAACTATTATAGCCCATGAGCAAGGGACCTGTTTTTAAATAAAGTTTTATTGGAACACAGCTCTGTCCACTTGCTTACATATTACCTGTGGCTGCTTTCATGCTACATGTCATACTACTTCATGTTAAGTAATATGAACACTGCCTATGACCCATGAGCTGAAAATGTTTACTACCTGGCCCTTCAAGAAAAAGTTTGCTGATCCCTAATCTAAATCAGTGAAAATGCTGTTATGTACCTTGAAGGAAGGAGAAAAAAATCCCTGAGTATCATAAGCCTATAAACATTATAATAATATATCAGAATTTATTACATATATCATATATATAGGTATTTTATATATATAATAGTATCATAAGCCCATAAACATTACTCTATAGAAGAAAAACCACCTTATGTCTTCCAGAAAAGTAGCACATGGTAAAAAAATATTTGCAGCAGACAAAATGAGGTGAATATTAATGACAGCAGACTTTCTTATCTATCTCATTTGCCCCTGAAATCCTGACTATATTCCAGGACATTAAAGTAATTCCTATTCATAGTTACACTAAAGAAGTTTTGTTTTACAAAACTTTTCAAAAAGGAGAAAGCATGAAGTACTTAAAGATTTCCATTAAAAAAGTTAAAATTTTTTTTATTAAGTTTTAATTCTTGGGGAAAACAATTAATTTGGTGTTTTTACAATTTTAAAAAGATTTTGAGAGTAGTTTTTTCTAAATCAGTTGAGTGTATAAACATTTTTTATAATTACTGCATCTATGAGGAGTCTAGCTCCACACATCTGCATTTGTTCACTATCCTGGAGCCTGTCTACAATCAAGTTCACGTATGGAAGGAAAATATTGACTCTCTTCTGAGTTTGAGTTATCATCATCCTTGATCTGGAGCTGCCCTGGGGTATCAGTTTTTAAACTGTCAGGGAAATTCAACCAAATTCTGCCGACAGACTTATTTGTCATTTAATATTATGAAATAGAGGTCTTAGTAGAAAATATCCCCTAGCCATGCATGGATGCTCTGGTAGTAGGACATGAAGCAAAAATCTATGCACAATGTCTAGATGAAACCTTTGAGAAAGAGTTCAAGCTGGAAATTTATTGTTTCCATGATCATTGCACATTGTGTGTGGGGGGCAGGGCCCTGCCTTCCCAGCTTTCTGCCACAGCCGTTGACCTGCTGTTTTTAGTGGCCTTCAGCTATTTCAGTGGTCAGAAAGTCGATCACTGAAATGTGATTTGCAAGCTTTTATCTACTTCAACTATTCATAGTATTTCCAGTTTTAATGGGCTATTTGTTAATAAATAATTTAGTTCCTTCCTGGAGATGCAAGTTAATGAAACCTCAGTTAATGCCTTGGAGTACTGAGTGCTGGTAAAAACTTGTTTCTTATGGTAACACTTTTGAAATTACTTGATAACTATTATAGGCATGGGAAATGTACAAGGAGGAACAGTTGTAAGAGGTCATTGTAGTCCTACCAGTCTGTCTCTGTAGAGATGTTATCTCATCACTTGGCTTGTGAAAGCTGCTCCTCTAGTCTGTGTAACTTTTGTAGAAAGATTAAACTTTGTGTTAGTGGGGGAAGTTTGCATTTTTGGAACTTGTTTATTATCTAGGGTTTATGTTTATCCATATACATAAGTGGTCTTTAAATTGGGGTGTATGCACTACATACATATTGGAATGTCTATATTTTAATCTAATTTAAAATGCCTACTTCTTGTCTTATCTTTTATAAAGATGTATTAGTGCAGTAGTATATTTATATAGTTTATAAACAAATGTGCTTGTATTGGGCATGCTTATTCAGAAACTTTTAGTGCAGATGTGTACAACCAGAAAAGTTGAGACCATTGCTATATACATGAGGTACTAGGTTTTATACAGTACTTAAATTTCATTGCCAAGTGTGAAATGTATTGTGTGTTATTAGAAGGTTTTGATAAGCAAGGACATATTTCAGTTCTTTAGTTTGCTATTGAGTTGATTTGAATTTCAATCTAAAGGTAAAATAAAATAGTTTCACTAATAGTTCTTGTACCTATCAATAGCTTCTCATTCTACCCCCTCCCCCCCCACCCGGTAATATCAATGTATTCTAAGTATTGTCTTTTTTGTCTTTCAGTCCTTAACTAGTCCTTTGTGTGAAGCATGGAATTGCTTTATGGGCCCTCAGTTTGTTTGGTTTTGGTTTTTTGTAGCTTCAGGGGCCTTGTCAAAGTTAACGCGTGGATTGAAAGATGAATCACTGGCTTATATCTATCATTGCCAGAATCATTATTTTTGTCCAATTGGCTTTGAGGCAACCCCTGTTAAAGCTAATAAAGTATTCAGGTAAGCATTTATATATTTTATGTGGATACTCCATGGAAAATGTGAGGTAGAAGGTGTTTTAAGAAATGTCAAGAAATATTCTAAGTCTCTTTAGAAACTGGAAGACTGGGTGATCTGCTTTCCTTATATCAAGGTAGACTATTACTTAAATATTATAGCTTATTCTTTTGCAGAACTCCATTTAGTTAATTGGGCTTTAAAAAATATATACTTAGGGCCGGCCCGGTGGTGCACTGCTACAGTGCGCCGCTTGGGAGTGCGGCTGTGCTCCCGCCGAGGGTTCGGATCCCACATACAGACCGGCCGCTCACTGGCTGAGCGAAGTGTGGGAGCAACACCGAGGGTTGTGATCCCGTTGTCGGTCCCGGTCCGGTACGGGCACGACACTGAGGGTTGCGATCCATTGCCGGTCGCGAAAAAAGACAAAAAGGAAAAAAAAATAAAAATAAAAAATATATACTTAGAAACTGTTCAGTCATTACAAGAGAAAGCCATTTGAAAAATCACTTTTACATTTATTGTAAAACAGTTACAAAGGACTTTACATATTATGTTTCAGTGTCCTTCCAATATCCTGCTTGAACAATGTATTACAGAATCTAGTGTCAAGAAGATTATTACAATAAATTAAATAGCATCTCCCTTTCTTATAGTGGAAAAACATGAAATTTATGAGGGTTGCATATTTGTCCTGGTTTCAAGGAGGCTCAGAGCTGATTTTTATTTCTGTCCGGAGCTATATTACCTCCATAGTTATATTTGTTTCCTTCTTTGCTTAATCCAGAGTTTCTATTTTATTAACTATATGTCTTTACATACAGGAGGTAAATTTGTATCTTTTTCAAAAAGACAGTCCCTAAAAAAAGAGAGGGTGCCTGAGTTTTAATACTTGTTTTCCTCCTTAGCAAGTTTTCTTTGTGATGGGTTGAGATAACGCCAGGATAGTTAAAAGCAATGGGAGAAGTGTTCTAGTTAAGAATTGGTGAAAACAGATGCTATGAATACTTCGAGCAAAGGTATTGGCAGGCATGGTCATCTCACCCAGATGAGGTTCTGGTATGTTCACACCTGGATTGTTTGTTAACTGAGGAGGAGGAAGAGACAGCACTGCCCACAGTAACTGCCTCTTGAGGGAGGGCCAGAGGTTGGTCTGGGAGAACATGGCTTGGTCATTGGGATAGGAAGGGTTCTTTGGTGCTGCAGGCCATGAGGCCTTTGAGTCCCATTCAAAGGCCCCTTGGGGTAGGGGGTGAGAGGGATTCTGAGAGAGGCAGGAGTGACCTGGGAGAACCAGGAAGCTGGACATTGTGTTTTTGTGAATGAGGAGCAAGAGGGAAACTACTTGGTCTCTCCACATCCTGAAATGCTTTATTCACCTCTCTGGAGGTGAAATTTCTTACAAGTGATGTATATTGTTGCTCCACTCCAGACCTATTTGGATTAGAACTCCCAGGGATGATATTAAGGCATCAGTGTGTTTAAAAGTTCTCCAGGGGCTGAGCACGTGGTGCACTCGGGAGAGTGCGGCGCTGGGAGTGCAGCAGCGCTCCCGCCGCGGGTTCGGATCCTATATAGGGATGTCCGGTGCACTCACAGTGCTCACTAGCTGAGCGCGGTGCGGCCGGTCTCAAAAAGGACAAAAAAATAAATTAAATAAATAAAATAAAATAAAAGTTCTCCAGGAGAATCACTGCTTTAGGGCTTTAGTTTTAGGATGCCTTTGGAAACTTCTTGAATGTGAACTGAAAGGAGAAGAGTGGCTGAAGAATGCTGGTAACATGCTAGGAATTCTTTCTCCTCCTACGATATGAGAGGTGGTGTATTAAAATTTTTTTTAGCTCTTGATTTTGAATAGGGAATTTAGGCCTAAATTTAATTTATAGGTTCTCTTTAATGGCCTTCAGAAATTTGCCCAAGCCTAAACTCTGATGTCTACTCTATATTAATGAATGCCATCTTCGAATAAATTTTATTATATCTTTTATTAATATATAGTTGAAGCAATATACTCAAGGGAATGAATGACCTTTTTTGAGCTTACTGTTACTATATTTTGTATTTAGCAGGGGTCCTCTCTCACCACAAGAAGTAGAGTATTGGATCTTAATTGGAGAATCAAGTAGAAAACATCCTGCCATTCACTGTAAAAAGTATGTTAACGTCCCTTTTTTTTTAACTTTGAGTTAAGATATAGATACAGTGAAACATACAGATCTTAATTATATAATTAGATGTTTTGATAAATATATACACCTGTGTAGTCACCATTCCAGTCAAGATATGCTCCATTTTCATTACCATAGAAAGTACCATTGTTCTCTATTCCTGTCAATCCTCGTAGACAATCTCTGTTCTGATTTCTGTCACCATAGATTTGTTTTGCTTTTTCTTGAGTTCCAGTTTCATGTGAATTCCTTGTAAATTCCATGTCTGCTTCTTCATTTAAGTAACCTTTTTGAGATTCCTCCATTGTGTGGTGTGTATCAATAGTTTATTCCTTGTTTATTGCTGAGTAGTATTCTGTTGATTGAGTGTGCCACAATTTGTCATCCATTTTCCTGTTGATGGGCACTTGGATTGCTTTGAGTTTTGGTCTAATGTGAATAAAGCTGTTTGGAACATTCATGTAGAAGTCTTTTAAAGTAATTTATATAAAAGCTTTATTGAGATGTAAGTCACATATCACAAAATTTATTCTTTTAAAATGTACAATTCAGGAAAGAGAGAAAAGGAAAGAGGAAGGAAAGAAAGAAAAATAAATGTACAATTCAGTGGATTTGAATAGTATAGTCATAGAACTGTGCACCAGTCACCACTATATAATTCCAAAACATTTTCCTCACCCCAGAAAGAAACCCCAAACCCATTAACAGTCACTCTTCATTCCCCCAGCCTCTGGCAACCACTAATATACTATCTGTCTCTATGGATTTATCTGTTCTGGACACTTAATGTAAATGGAGTCATACAATATATAGCATTTTGTGTCTAGCTTCTTTCACTTAACATAATGTTTTCAAGGTTCATCCATGTTGTAGCATGGATCAGAACTTCATTCCTTTATATGGCCAAATCATTTCTCATTGTATGGATATGTCTCATTTTCTTGTTCAAGTCTTTTTGAGGATGTATGTTTTGTTTCTTGCTGGTAGATACCTAGGAATGAAATTGCTGATTCATAGGATAGATGTGTATTTAAGAAACTGTGAGAAAGTTTTATGAAGTAGTTATACCCTTTTGATGAACAGAAGTTCTTAATTTTGATTAAATCCATTTTATTAGTTTTATTTTTTGTGTGTTTAGCGCTTTTTTGTGCCTCTTTAAGACATTTTTGCTTACTCCAAGACCTCAAAGATGATCTCCTGTTTTCTTCTACAAGCTTTATAATTTTACGATTTATGTTTAGATTTATGGTCCATTTCAATTAATTTTTGTGTGTGGTATGAGGTAGGGGTCAACTTTGATTTTTCCTGCAATGTTTAACCAGTCATTCCAGCACCATTTGTTTACAAGATTTTCCTTTCCTTGTTTAATTTCTTTGGTGCCTCTGCTGAAAACTAATTAATCACATATGACTGGTCTATTTCTGGACTCTGTTCCACTGATCTGTTTCTTTATCCTTTCACCAGTATCACACTCTCAATTGTTGTAGTTCATACTAAATCCTGAAATTAGGTAGCATGGGTCCTCTGAGTTTTTCTTTTTCTTCAAGATTGTTTTGGCTCTTCTAGGATCTTTGCCTTTCCATAAAAATTCTAGAATTTGTCAATTTCTTCTAAAAAGCCTATTGAGATTTTGATTAGGGTAGAATCTATAGAATTTATAGTTTAGTCTGGGGAGAATTGACAACATTACAATATGGAATCTTCCAAAATTGAACATGGACTATATCTCCACATAATTAAAGCTTTAATTTCTGTCAGCAATATTTTGTATTTTTCAAGAGAGTCTTACATGTCTTTCATTAAAAATTTTCCTAATTGTGTTATATTTTTTGCTGCTATTGTAAATTGATTTTTTTAAAAAAATTATTTTCCAGTTATTTGCTGGTGTATACAAAAATAGTTGATTTTTCTACATACACCTTGAATCTCACATCTTTACAAATTTACTTATTAATTCTAGTAATTGTTTTGTAAATCCCTTGAGTTTTCTGCACAATTGTGTTGTCTGTTAATAGAAATATGTTAAATTTTAACTCTTTTAAAAATGACTTGACTGTAATTAAAAAGGAAATATGGCATGTTGCAGCTTTAGCCTGCAGGATGTCATCTAAGATGTTGATATATATTTATTTTTATAGGAAATGTAACCAATTTTAAACTGAGAACCTTGGCAATTAATGGATAAACAGAATCATCATAAAAACAAGATGTTATTAAAGTTTAATAGATGGAACAATGCTGAGATAAATATTGCCAACTATTGCCATGATAATATCGTAGGAATTTGCTCATGTGAAAAGTTCCATTACAATGGTACTTTGGACGTAAGGAAAATTGTGCTTTATTCTCTCTTCTTAACTGTAGATGGACAGATATTGTTACTGATCTAAACACTCAAAATCCAGAATACCTAGATATCCGGCACTTAGAGAGGGGACTGCAGTATCGAAAAACAAAGAAGGTAAGAACACTATTTTATGTGAAGGTGTTTCCCAGGGTCTTAAATGCAGTATTTTACTCAGTACTCTTTAGGGTATCAATAACAGACACTGAATTCAGACCATTTTAGACAGAAAAGTAAAAATTATTTTAAGGACACGGATATTTTTAAAACCCAAGGCCAAGGAGTAAACCCTAGAGTGATATGGGAATGGTGGCAGGTATTAGAATGATAGCAGGGGGCAAGAAGTTAGTGATTTCCCTCACTCTTTTGGGGGTTGTATGTTGTTTTTAGCTCTGCTTTTGTCTGATTATTTACTCCTTGAAGATCATCTTTAAATTTATGTCTCCCTTTCCAAAGAACAGTCTAGACTGTGACTGTCCTTCCTTTGGTCCAGTTCCATGGTCCAGGCTCAGCTTGGGCCACATTAACAGTGGCCATGGGGCAGAGACGTGTGTACAAACAAGGCTGTGAAGGGAAGTTCTCAGAAACAGTAGACGGCATGGACTGAATAGATGTCCCATGGATATCACTGATATAAGAATATATGAAGATCAGGAGGGAAAGGAAGAGGGATGATCTTGGTGTTTGAATTTAGCAGGTAGGGAAGTTATAGTGTATGTCGAGAGTGAGTGGTAGAGAGACATATGGGGGGAGAAGGTGCTGATGCTCCTGTGGGCACTATTATATTTTGTAAAGGCAGCAGTCAGGAAACACGCAGGATAATGTTCTCTGATGATGTTTAAAAAAAAAAGTACTATCTTGAGGCAGGTGAAGGAGGAAAAAAAATAACCAAGGGAGTTTATAGGGACCCACAAATTAGTATAATTAATTTCTCTTTATTTTCTTCACCAAACTTTTTTTTGTTCTCAGATCGGGGGAAATTTGCATTGCATCATAGCATTCCAGAGACTTAATTGGCGAAGATTTGGCCTTTGGAACTTTCCGTTTGGAACAATTAGACAAGAATCACAACCTCCAACACATGCCCAGGGAATTGCCAAATCTGAGAGTGAAGACAATATTTCAAAGAAGCAGCATGGGCGTATGGGCAGGTCTTTCAGTGCTAGTTTCCATCAGGACTCAGCGTGGAAAAAGATGTCTCGTACCCATGAGAGGAGGAACAGTGGCTACCACGGTTACAGTGATCATGATGGGAATGATTGATTACGCTGGGTACTGAATAACTGGTGTTACACATACAACTGCCGTACACAGGACTGTTGTTTAGATAGTAGAAGATTTTATTAAGTCTACACTAAATAGGAACAGATCTTTTGGTACAAAACATAACCTTGTAGTTCTCCAGTTAATAAGCTTGTATATGATTAGGATGGGTGATTTCAGATACTCATATATAAGCAGATAAGCACAGATTATTGTCCTTTTAAAGTTAAGTTTATAAACAATCTGGACAGAAGTTTTCATAGAATCCAGTAAAATCACAACTGCTATCTAAACAAGTCATATCAAGTTCACTTAACAGCACCAAGATTTGAAATACTTAAGCATGAACTGAATTCTTATGACTTGATCCCTAGACATTTGTTACAGATAGTTTTATCCCTAAGTTCAATATGTAAAGCACCATGTGCCCTTAGGAAAAAAAAAATGGGGCTGTTGATTTCTAGTTTTTGCTCATGGGTGAAGCTTATTTAAAATTATTTTGTGAGTCTATTAGTTATTTTACTTGTAAGCAGATCTTGCCTGCCTCATTTGTTTCCTGGTTGACTTTCTCAGGATTCTCAAAAAAGAGGCAAGAGATTCAAGAAACTGCTTTTTCTATTGGTGCATAAGGGCAACTTAATGCATTGATTTAGGTATTCATGACTTTCTTGACTTGGTATATATTACTATCAAACATTGACAAGAACCTTAGGTCTTGAAAGACTTTGGTAAGTCTAGAATAAACCCTGTTTTAGGGATCGAGTAAAAGAAGTGGCATCTGAAGTTTCTATACCCAAAGTAATCTGTGAAATGAGATCTTCTGATATTTGATTGGTCCCTCAGTGTGGAGTCATGTGTTGATAATGGCACTGAAGATGCGTTAAGAATACACAAGTCACTCAGAGGGTAGCTGTCTGTATTCCAGACTCTAAGTTGTTTCCTTTTTATAAACCATAAAGACAATTAGCTGTTTAAAGTGAATGTTAAATATTTCAGAAGTGAGTGTTAAATGTTTTGGAAGTGTGGGTTTCATATTTTTGAGCTCCTCTCTAGCTGCTCTCAATTTCTCTTCTGCTGTGACTCATGAATGACTAGGATTTCTTGTTGTTTCATTTCAGGGGCTTGTTTCAGGACTCAAATCAGTAACTTGGTGATCACAGGTGCTGAATATGTTGGTAATCATATTGCAATACACCTCAAGGAGAGGGTTCAGATTTTTATTTTTAAAATATTTTCATTTTTTTCCTCTTGGATTTTATATCCATTTATCCACTCATACATGCCTAGCCTACAGAAGGGGATATATATTACGAAATGGTCATTTTTCTGAAGAGAATATTTTGCTTGAGATGCAAAGGACTGAAAGAGATTTGTAGGTTATTGATTTCATTACTTCATACTGGAACTTTTAAAAAGTTTTCATCAAATAAAATTTTGTTTTCTACTTTTAATCATGTGAATGTTTTTGAATCTTTGTTTTAGGTAAGAGGCTCATTATAATTTTGTTTGAAGTATGTTATAGTTTGTTAGTTCTGCCTAGCTAGTGTGTTATAAGAAAGCATCTTGAATCTTACTCCTGCAATGAATGAAACAGTACGCTTTATATTGACTATAATTTTATAATTTTATAATTTCTATAAGAATTTATAATAGGAAGTAGAAAATTTAATTATTTTATAAGCTTGAACCAAATAAAGTGTCATTTTTTTTAGGTCAAACATGGTTGAATGTCAGCAATTTCATATAGTTTAACTGATTATTTCAGAGAAGAGGTAGATAGGAAGAGCCGTGAGGAAAAAAGAAAAATACAACATAAAGTAAGAAATTAAAGAATAGGGTGACACCTAGGAAGAGAGGATGAGTTTATCCAGACTGCTTACTGACATCAATTTTCATAAAAGTCTTGGTATATATGATCACTTAGTAACTTTGCTTACAATTTTGACAGTCATTAAGAGCATAGCGAGTTTTAGGTTTAGTAAGACTGTTTTTCCAGTAACTGTAAGCAAGTTACTGAATACTTCCCTTTGAAGGTTAGCAATATTCCTGTCATATTTGATTTCTTCATCAACCCATAGATGCAATAAAGGTTCAAATACTAGCTCTACACTTATTTGCTATATCACCTTGGGCAAGTGAGTAATTTTTCTGTGTTATTTGCTCATTGGTAAAATGGAGATTGTAGTACCTGCTTTATAAATGGTTTTGAAGAATAAATAATCTAACACATGTAAAGTGTTTAGAACAGTGCCTTGTTGAAAGTACTATTTAAGTGTTTGCTATTATCTCAAAAGATATGTGTTTTACTATTCATATTCTTTATAGAGAACCCTTTTAAACAGCATCTAATGAAGTTAGTGATTTATAAATCAAATATACACCCGTTAGCTTCTTTTTTTTTTTTTTTTTGTCTTTTTCCGTGTCCGGCAACGGATCGCAACCCTCAGTGTCGCCCCGTACCGGACCGGGACCGGCAACGGGATCGCAACCCTCGGTGTTGCTCCCGTGCCTCGCTCAGCCAGTGAGCGGGAACCGGTCTGTATGTGGGATCTGAACCCTTGGCGGGAGCGCCACCACGCTCCCAAGCGTCGCACTATAGCAGTGCGCCACCGGGCCGACCCACACACCCGTTAGCTTCTGTTCCTTCAAAAGAATGTTTTATATTCAAGAAATGTTGTTTTGGTTTTAAAAGCATGTATAGTACTCAGATACCCATCTTGGCTATTATTTGTTTTTACCCAGCTCTCAGGCAGAAAAAAGAACAAGTTCATTTAGACCAGATCCTGTAACTTTTTTCCTACTACTGTTACTGTTAAAGAACTATGTCCCCTATCATTAGGCCAAACAGGTGCAGCAGCTATACTTCCCAGCTTGCCTTCTCCCAGACACTGGAGGGGCTCAGGCAGCAGTTGTAGGATCCACCACATCCTGTACCTCAATTTTACATTTTACTTGTAGTGTTCCCTTTCTACCCCCGCCCCCCAGCCAGTCATTCACTCAACAAATTAATTTAAGCACCAATACCTACTAGGTGTTTCATATCAAATTATTGATCCTAAAACAACCCTCAGAAGTTGGTGGCATATAGTAGATCTGCAACATAACCAGTGCCATTTTAGACAAGCCCAAGTACAAAATGGTGCCGTCTGCTTCCTCCCTTCCCCTCCCCCATTCTCTCTTACAAGAAGCCTCATGGTTTCGGAGAAAACGAAACTTTCGGTGTTTCTGCATGGGCAGAACTCTCCATCCCCATGACCTAACTTAATCCCCACCCTGGAATTACACCACCCAACTCTTGGTGCCAACGTACCAATATAAGCTCCTACCACCCTAGGTTAGCTGCTGCCCTCCATTTTCAGGGCAGCCCTTGGCCACCTTCAGCACAGCCTGGTAGATTCTTTTCCTTTAATAAAGCTTGAACGGTACCTGGCATCTTGGCTCACTTTCTTTCAGCATACACATTTTACTGGCAGGAACTTCACCCCTTGTTGGTGAAGAAACTTGTCTAGGATCACAGGGTGTCTTAGTTTGCTAGGGACACCATAACAAAATACCACAGACTGGGTGGCTTAAATAACAGAAGTTTATTTTCTCACAATTCTGGAGGCTAGAATTCCAAGATTAGGGTGTTTGTAGGTTTGGTTTCTTCTGAGGCCTTGCTCCTTGACTTTACAGGTGGTGGCTTTCTCACTATGTCCTCATGGCGCCTTTCATCTGTGTGTGGGCATCCCTGGAGTCTCTTAGCATGTCCAAATTTTCTTTTCTTATAAGGACACCACTCAGATTGGATTAGGGCCTACCTGAATGCCCTCATTTTAACTTAACCACCCTTTAAAGGCCCTATCTTCAAATACTAGGGTACTTCAAAAAGTTCATGGAAAAACAGAATTGAAGGATAATATAAATATTTCCATGCATTTTTGGAAGTACCCTCTTAAAGTAAACTTCTGAAGAATTGGGGGTTAGAGATTTTACATGTGAATTTTGGAGAACAGAATTCAGTCCATAACAAAAGGTTATTATATGGCTCAGAGGAGATCTGAACTAACATCTGCCTAACCTTCAAGCAAACCTTTAAGCAGGGTGCAAAGTACACTGGACAGCTTTAGACTGGAGGCTTAAAAGGTCATTTAGGCCTTTTAAGTTTTTAATGTTTGTGGAAGTCTTGTTAAGTGTCAGAAACTTACACCCTAATGTGGGGAGGAGACAAAAATTAAATAATAGGATATTAAATTACTTTCCGTAAAAGATGACTAGGAACAATTTCAGGGGATTACTTTACACATGAAGGGTATGCAAAAAACCCTTTGTCAGGATTATTCCAGACGGAAAATTAGTTGTGAGTTGCTCAACTAAATATGGCTACAATGAACCACTTGTTTGGGCATGGAAATGGTTTTAGCCAAAAACTGATTTCTGATGTAGGTTAGAAAGAATTCCTTTAAAAAATTACCTGCTCCTTGAAATCAACCTTTTCTTTTGAGTTTGAATCTAGTTTCAGTAGTTGAAATTTGAACGAATATATATACTAATACTATCATTTACTGAGTAGCTACTAGTACTAAGTGCTTTGCATATATCCCCTCTTATCCTTACTGAAATAGTCCGCAAATTGGCTTTACTCCCTGTTTACAGATGAAGAAACAGAAATTCCAAACAAATGTGACTTCCGCAATGCTAAACGCCGTGAGGTACAGTCGGGGATCTGAATCTTAGCTTGAGGGCTCCAGAGTCAAGGCCTTTCCAGGAGCTACGATGACCATTCATTTCTGACCTATAAACCGTGAGAATTCTGTTTTAGATGCTGGAGAAAAACGAAACTACATGTCAAGGATTAATGCCTTTAACTGAATTACTATCTAGTTACTACATGCTACCGTCCGAATAAACAGCTTAAAAACACGCAAGCATCCACCCTTCTGTTGTCTTCTCGTGTAAAATAACTTAGTATAAAAAGTCTTCACTCTGGCGGCGCAATGGGGCGAAACTGATACTTTAAAAGCGCGTATTAAATTGTCTCCTCAGCAAGAACACACTTTGCACATCGTTTTAACGTTTAACCGCGACAAGACGCAGGGCGGGGTAAAAAACGCCACTACAAGATGCAAACACTGGGACTAAACCGTCACCCATTTCCGGAGTGCTGCAGACGCAGCAAATGTACGTCACGGCAGGGAGGCGCAACTTCCGTCCCGCGCACCGTATTAGACGGAAGCCGAGAGACACCAATTCTCGTGGGCTTAGGGACCCATCTCAGAAAGCAAGTGTATTGGAAGGACATCTTCTGGCTGTTTGTCTCGCCTGCGCCGCCCCCTGTCCCAGGTCTTCTATTACGAGTGCAAACGTTTGGTCTAAAGAGCCGGGCGAGACGAGGCCCTGCTCCTCCCCACCGCCGGCCCGTCTGTGGCCCCGTCTTTCTTCCGGGAGGCGGTCTCAGCCGCTGGGCAGGGTTCCGCGTGGGTCCCCCTGCCTCACGCTCTCGCTGATCCCGGTTCCTCCTGGAGATCCGTGGGTTCTGTCTTATGTTCCGTCTTTCCTGAGCTGGAGCGGACGGGGCGTCCTCCCTGGGTCCTGGGTGTTGTAAGAGAATTAGAATAAAAGCCCTCCCGAGATCCGCTCGGAGGACACCCCTGCGCCATGGGAGTCCAGGGGCTGTGGAAGCTGTTGGAGGGCTCCGGGCGGCAGGTCAGCCCGGAAACGCTGGAAGGGAAGGTCCTGGCTGTCGGTATCCTTAACGCACCCCAGACACTGGGGAGGCGGGGATTGGGGTCCGGATTTTACTCGCGGCGGTCGGCTGGGCGCAGGGTGGTGTTTGCAGGGTGACAGTCTGACCCAGGGGGGAGCGTCGAATCTCCTCCCTAGCGTTTTCTAAGTGCTTCCCCCGGCTTTGCAAACATACCGTATACACTCTGGACTGGGATCCTGGGCTTCCCATTTAGGACCAGTGCTGTACGCCCCTCTGTTTTAGCTCTGCCATTTGCAGCGTGGAGGTGATAGTAGTATCTACACACAGGGTTGGTATGAGGAGTAAAGGAACTACAGGTGGAAGGTTAGTGTAGTGTCTGGCGCTGTTAATACTGTAGATCTTAGACTTCCGACCATTAGTTTTGCCTGCTGTCCCGAGTCTTGCTCCATTTATGTTTCTTAGAGGAAGGATAGGGTGGACACTTGTTTGACATTTTTTTTTTCAAATATGTAACTTTTTTTTTTTTTTAATTATGGGTTTTGGAATAGGAAATTCATATGGTACAACGCTGAAAAGATTTCAAAAAGTATACAGAGAATTATTTTTCTCCTAGCCCCTGTGATAGACTGTTTAAGGACTGTTGTTTGTGTGCATGTTTGGTTGGTTTTGTTTTTTATCATTGGGATTAAATGTCCTTTTTATTATCAAAACATATGATACTGTTTTTGAAATTAGAACTTTTTATTCGTTAAGTATTAACGAATTAATTAATTAATTTGAGTGCCTATTTCTGTCTCAGAAGCTGGTGGTGGTGGTACACCTTGCACCAGTTTCCTAAAAGGGGATCTATGCGGCTGGCTCATAAACTTGTGAAAGGAGTCTGTAAATAATTGCTCGGGGATGGGGGCGGGGCGGGTGTGCGTGCTAGAGTGTGGGAGTTCAGCAAGGGAGTTACTTAGGGGCCATAGTTCTTCGCTGTGTACACAATTTATAAATAATGCAACACTGATCATTTTTTAAATATAGAAAGATTATTATATTTTGCCAAGTGAATAATCTTCAAATACATCTGTAATGAATTTTTAGCTTAAAAATTTTTATGCAGGGTGAGGATTTGAGGAAAGTGAAAGTTTTTTAAAGCACATGCACTATTGCTGCCATCCAGTGATTTCTCGATATCATTGCATTCTAAAGATTTTCTTGGAACTTTTGGTGGATTAAGGACTGTTTTCAGTGATGGGAACCCTTAAAACTTAAGCAAAGATTTAGGTCATTTTATGTTGCAGCCCATATGAAGAATTAGGAGTTTATAAAATCATTAAGATGACACATGAAGTTCTGCATTCTGGTTTTTTTTTTTTTTTTTTTTTTTTTTTTTTTTTTTAGTATGCCATCGAGAGTAAGGGAAGATAAAGCATTTAATATAGATTATCTATTTATTTATGGCTCAGAGTGACCCTTTCGGGACATGAAGTCATTTTTATCAGGTTATTAGGCTTTTCTGAAAGAATGAATCATTTATCTAAAGAGGACTGTCAAAGATATTCTAGGTACAATAATAGCTTCATGTATATTACATAATATCTGATTGCTTGTTCTTCACTTGATTTTGTTTTGTTTCATTCTCATGGTAATCCGGACATTTGAAGTATATTTAATTTTTATTGTTTTGTTTGTTATTGAAAAACTTACCCATGACTATTCCAGATTCATAATTCACTCTTGGATCCCTAAAATAAATTGTTTGGTCTTTTAACCATCTGTATAGATGAGTGTCTTGTGTATTTATACAGTCTGAATGTCTGTGTGAAAATAATATGGAATTAACCGTTTAACTTTTGTCTCTTATGGACCTCAACATTGGTAAAATGTATTTAAGTGTATTAGGAAGATAGTGCAATCTCTTTCTGCTATGTATCCTAATGTAGATTAATTAAATTTTATGTCATCTAACTACAGAACGAAAGAAATTTATTTTTTGTTTTAAAATGTTATTGGTCCTTGGGGCCGGCCCGGTGGCGCACTGGATAGTGCGCTGCTTGGGAAGCGCGGCGGCGCTCCCGCCCGAGGGTTCGGATCCCACATACAGACCGGTTCCGCTCACTGGCTGAGCGAGGCGCGGGGGGCAGCACCGAGGGTTGCAATCCCGTTGCCGGTCCCCGGTCCGGTGTGGGGGCAACACTGAGGGTTGTGATCCGTTGCCGGACACGGAAAAAGACAAAAAAGACAAAAAAAAAAAAAAAAAAAATGTTATTGGTCCTTTAGGTCATGTCTAAAGTGATTTTTGGCTTTGCTACAGATTTTAACTTTTTCAGCCCTGGGAGAAATTTAATTTTGCCTTAAATGAACTTAAAATATTTTCAGCTTATCTAATTTTACATATTTATTTCTTCTCTGAGAATTTCATGCTGGAACTCTGAAGCATAGATGAGAATTGGCACTACTGATGATTAAGAAAAAACTGAAAAAGACCTATTTCAGTCTCTGTGATTTAGAATTTTAGGCATATGAGGTTTAGTAATCTATAATGTTTCCAAAGCGTCATATGCTATTCTAATGGATAGCAGGATTGAGAGCAGCTGATCTGAAATTAGATTTTCTCACTTATAAAGTTTATAGTTTGCAGTAATGGGCTAAGTAGAAACTTATTTAATCCTGTGCAGTAGTGAGGCAAGTAGAAACAAGCCAAGCAGAAGCATTTATCCAATACATTATAGATCTAAGTCAACACCAAGTCCTACCTCTAAGATGGGTCTCTTATATGACCACTTCTCGTGGTCTTCACCACTACCATCCACTTTCATTTGGGCCATTGTAAGTAGTTTTAAAACTGGTTTCGTTATAGTTCATTCTTTTTTTTTTTTTTTTTTTTGTCTTTTTTGTCTTTTTCTGTGTCCGGCAACGGATCGCAACCCTCAGTGTTACCCCCGTACCGGACCGCGGACCGGCAACGGGATCGCAACCCTTGGTGTTGCTCCCGCGCCTCGCTCAGCGAGTGAGCGGGAACCGGTCTGTATGTGGGATCCGAACCCTCGGGCGGGAGCGCCGCCGCGCTTCCCAAGCAGCGCACTATCCAGTGCGCCACCGGGCCGGCCCATAGTTCATTCTTCACTGGGTGAACCTTAAGTCACGTTCTTGAAACCTGCTAGTGCTGCACAGACATCAACTCCTGCGGTTCCTCCTCTCTTGTGCACAGACCTTCCTAACTAACAGATGTGAGCTTCTGTCCCAGGGCATTAGCTGCTCCTGTTACCTCATGGTTCACTCCCCCGCTCCTCTTCTTGTTCTTCCAGGTCCCTGTTACTTTGGATAAACTTCCCTAGGTAAAGACCTCCCCACCCATCACTCTTTTGTCCTTTTACTCTATTTTTTTCTTGGCACTTACCAACAACTGAATTTATTATACATCCATTTCTTTACTTTTTTTTAAAAATTGTCTATCTTCCTCATTCGGATGCAAGCTCTTTGGAGATAGGGATGCGTTTTGTTCACAGCTATATTGTTCTATGCATATCCCTAGGGTCTAGGATATGCCTGGTACATTGTAGTGTTCAGATATTATAGGAATAAATACAACAATAGCTTGCTTTTCATTAGTTATTTTGTTACATAGTGTTTAGTAAATTAATTGTTCATGGGTCTACATTTTTTTCTTATGGTGGTAAAAGGCAGTGTTCACTCATTTAATAGCAGATATATATTGTCTGTTATATGATAGGCCCTGTGGATGGGAGCACAGTGCATAAAACTGGCCTAGACAAGCCAGGGAGTTCGCAGCCTTGGTTTTTCCCCACTAGACTGTACATCTAGGGCAAAGACTTTGTTCAGTGCTATATACTCAGTGCTAGAAAAATTTCTGCCCCAACAAACAATACATTTTTGAATAGGAGTGTATAAATGGAGGTCTTAATCTACGCTGAGGAAATAACTCATAGACTAAGACCTCAGAATAGGAGATAACTAGACTAAGAGAGAGAGAAACTGTTTTAGGCAGAAGAAGGAGCATGTGAGAAGACCCTGGAGCAGGAAGGAGCTAAGTGATTTCCAGGGTTTGAGAAAAGCCCATTGGTTGAAATGATCGTTTAGGGCTTCATAGGCCATGGGAAGACATTTTACATATTATCCTAAAGGCAATGGGAAACTTCAAAGGTTTTTTTGCTAAAGATATGTTGGTGAGATCTAATATATTTACCTTCAAGCTATATTAGAAGGTAGAATTGATAGGACGTGGTGATGGTTGGATGAGGGAAGGATATGGGATGATACCCAGAATCTGGCTCAGGTGACTGGCAGTGACATTCACCAGGATGGGGGCATGAGCAGCCTCATGGTAAAGACATGGAGTTTACTTTTAATCATGTTCAGTTTGAAATGTCTGGGAGGCATCAAGTAGAAATGTCAACTAGGCTGTCAGATCTGGGATCAGGAGAGAACTTTGGGCCAGAAATGTACGTGTGGGTGGAGTGGTGTAGGGGGTTGAGATGGCCTGGGTAGAAAATGCAGACAAGAGAAGAGAAGAGGCACTAAGGAAGATCTCTGATGAAGTGAACACTCGAATGGGAACTTAGAGGAGCTGGCAGAGAGATCGAGAGCAGGAAAACCAGTAGCGTACAGTGTCAGTCTTTCTTATGGACAAATATAAAATCAATTTCTTAAGAAGCATTTTTTTAGAAAAATTTATAACAAAACTCTAAGAAGAAAACATAAATTACCTTTAATCTCAGCAGACATAACTAATCTTAATATTTTAGCATCTGAACTCCTAGATTTTTTATGTTTAACATATTACATATATTATAAAAGAGAATTATACTTTACTTTCAAAAGCTGTTTTAACTGCCTTTAATAATATTTTGTGACTGTCTTCCTCATCACTATATGTGCTGCTTCAACTTTCATTTTTAACAGTTACTTAGTATTCCAGCAATCAGTATATTGTAATTTTTTAAAAAAGACCTGTTAGAAAACTTTCAAATTATTTTTAATATTTTCATTATTATAAACAAGCATTCTTGTAAATAACTGTTATTGTAAATCTATGATGATTTCCTGGATAAATGTCTGGAAGTGTAATTTGTAGGTAAAATAGAATGTAATTTTTAAGGTTTTTTCACTACGAATTGCCAAACTGCCCTCCAGAAAATTTGTGCTAATTTACTAACGTTCTTTAGAGATCACTAATTTTTTTAAAGATTTAAAGAAGCAATTGTTTGAAATTACACTTTTTAAAGACATGGTCTGTCTTTGTATGATTTTAAAATTTGGTATGTGAATAGTAGTAACAAGAGCTCAGGGCCGGCCTGTGGCTCACTCGGTAGAGTGCGGTGCTGATAACACCAAGGCCACGGGTTCGGATCCCATGTAGGGATGGCCGGTTCGCTCACTGCCTGAGCGTGGTGCTGACAACACCAAGTCAAGGGTTAAGATCGCGTATAACTTCGTATAATGTATGCTATACGAAGTTATGCGCGTGGTGCTGACAACACCAAGTCAAGGGTTGAGATCCCCTTTCCGGTCATCCTTTAAAAAAAAAAAAAAAAAGAGCTCAAATACAGTTTGTTGCACTCTCTTTGTCACCTCTCTCCCCCTGGGTGACGGAGAGGCAAAGGGTTACTCAAAGCCCATTTCTTCTGAGCAGTGAGAAACCCCAAAGGGGTTAATTTCCTGGAACCCTCAAGAGAGAGGCATTCCTCCTCAGGAAATTAACACCGGACTAGGGTTCTTTCTCAGTATTTATTCTCTAGGCCAGAAAGTTACAGAAAAGGAATGTACGTGGAGTTATGGCTAAGTATAGTTTAACAATAGAAGCTGGCGACATCAGTGAAATAACAAAGTGACATTCCATAGTGCAATTTGCAAAAGGTTAAGATCCACCAACAAAAGCTTGTTCTTAGCAAATACTGTCTTTTTCTTTTCTTTTTTTTTTTTTGTGTCTTTTGTCTTTTTCCGTGTCCGGCAACAGATCACAACCCTCAGTGTTGCCCCCGTACCGGACCGGGGACCGGCAACGGGATTGCAACCCTCGGGGTCGCTCCTGCGCCTCGCTCAGCCAGTGAGCGGGAACCGGTCTGTATATGGGATCCGAACCCTCGGGCGGGAGCGCCGCCGTGCTTCCCAAGCGGCGCACTTATCCAGTGTGCCACCGGGCCGGCCCAAATACTGTCTTTTTCTACAGCAATTTCCTTAGTATTTTTATATAACAATAAAGTAACTTTAGGTTAACCTGCTCCAAGGATGTCTGTCCTTGAGCCAACAATTTTGCTGTGTTACAATTCTTTATCTACAACAGAGACTTTACCCTGGGGCAAGTTTCCTGTCTTTTTCAAGCTTAACATTTCCATATGTAATTTTTAAAAATTAGGTTATACCTGAAACTACAGGGCTTTGGAAACTAGGCCCTGTGAAATACATTTGCTTTATAAATGTTAGTATACTCCACAAAAGTTAGTGGACTTTAGGCAGATTTGGTCAGGTACAGATATTTTTCAATTTCAAATGAATAGTGATGAGGGCTTAGTGTTCAATATTTGAATGATATCAGTTATTAGCAAATTAAAATTGTGAGGATGAGGGAAGATGTTCCAAAATGTTTTCCATTAATGATTCTTATAGATATTAGCATTTGGTTAAACCAAGCACTTAAAGGAGTCCGGGATCGCCATGGGAACTCAATAGAAAATGCTCATCTTCTCACTTTGTTTCATCGACTCTGCAAACTCTTGTTTTTTCGAATTCGTCCTATTTTTGTGTTTGACGGGGATGCTCCACTATTGAAGAAACAGACTTTGGTAAGCTTCATCTAATTTTTTTTTTTTTTCTTTCTGCATTCTTAGAGAAGTCACATAAAATTTTAATTTTCTCTTTGGACTTTTAAAAACTGAGACTTATTTTGACAAATCCAATTTAATTTCAACTGCTTTTTTATTTATCTCGACTAAATAATTTTTCTTTTAAAGATGGTTTGTGAGGAGTACATTATGGGTGCAATGATAAAATTCAACTCTTAAATAAACTAGCTACTAAAATTCTTAGAGTTGACAGTTTTCCTTTTAGAGTATCTTCTTAGGTGTTCCACATTTATTCCAACTACCATTGAACACTGTGGATAACCTACTTGGAAAATGCCTCCCTAAATCTGGTTATGTATCTTTAGTGACAGTAAGCCTTCTTTTAAAGGCGAATTGGATTTTAGGAGCAGGTGATGTGCTGCCAAGTGGTGACTAAAGTAGATTATTCATGATGAACTTGTACATCATATGAAAGAATGAGAATGGGTTTCTTTATTGTTCCGAAAGCAGTTTTAAAAAAGGTTTAAACAATCCAAATGACAGCACACATTTGTATATGCGACTTTCATTACTTTATATTCATAGTAGACAGATATTGTCTAATTAAGTGAGGATATAGGATAAAAGTAAGGATTTGTAAATGGTTGGGGACGTTTGTTGCCTCAGTAAAAGTATCTAGATGTGGATGTTGCAGTTTTCAGTTATCCAAGGCATACTGTTTATCAGGCACTTTTTGAAAGGATTAGAAAGGAAAGGACAATGTCTTAGTTATTTCTGCCTTATATTCAACCATAAGCATGGAGACTGTTCCATTTATCTCTACTTGGACATTTCTTACAAGATATTTTTGTACATTTTAGGATTTTTTATTACATAACCTTGGATGTTGTGAGCAGAGTCACATAATGCTAGGAATTGTTTTTGGCACAACAGAGACATTTTAAAGAGTAATTTAATGAATATAATAATTTGGGGGGGGGAAGTATTTATTTGATTATGTGTCATTAAGTTTTAAGTATCTTTGGGATATTAAAAGACATTTAAAAGAAAATGAAAGTGAATTAATAGTTTCCTGAATATATTGTTTAATAGCCAGTACAGTAAGTAATAATTAGATGGAAACTCTGGATGTCCTTTACATAACAGAAACCTGACAATATTTATTGATACAGAAATGACGAGGAAATACTAAAACAGCCATAGTCTAAAATCTCATACAAATCAAATTCTATGGAAAAAAATTACAGAAATGTTTTTAATAAAGGCTAATTCTCTGAGATAAACTCTTACATCCTTTTTTTCCCCCATAGGCTAAGAGAAGGCTGAAAAAGGATTCGGCATTCAGTGACTCCAGAAAAACTACAGAGAAGCTTTTAAAAACATTTTTGAAAAGACAAGCTATCAAAACTGCCTTTAAAAGCAAAAGGCAAGAGGAAAGTTAAATTAATTTTAGAAATTAGTTTTAAAAAATTTTTATTTTTGTGTTGGATTCCTATGGTCCTCTTTCCCTATCTAATTTTAACTCTCAACAGAAAATAGAGAGTGAAATGAGAGGAAAAGTAGGATGTCATTCTACCTGGTGTTTTGAAGATGTGAAAATTCTCCATTCTGTGAGCATCACCTTTGCTAATGAGAAAGAAGAGCTGTCGTGTTGCACTCCATACCCATTTTACTACCATAACGCTCTTCTTCATGGCTGTAGTTGAGGCCGTGGCACAGGCTCTGAGGAGCCCCAGCAAGTCTCTTTCCTTTCTCTAGGCTGTACTAATTTTCTGCCGCGGTAGCCCAGGGAGAACCAGATCTGGAGGAGAGAAATCCGTTGCCTCTGTGTTTTCTCCCTCTTCATCTCCTGAGCAGGGTTTGTGTAATCAATGGAGTATTATTGACTCAAAATACTATTTTGTAGAATCTCTTTAAAAATATGTGTACTTTGGGCCGGCCTGGTGGCGCACTGGATAAGTGCGCCGCTTGGGAAGCGCGGTGGCGCTCCCGCCCGAGGGTTCGGATCCCACATGCAGACCGGTTCCCGCTCACTGGCTGAGCGAGGTGCGGGAGCGACGCCGAGGGTTGCAGTCCCGTTGCCGGTCCCCGGTCCGGTACGGGGGCAACACTGAGGGTTGCGATCCGTTGCCGGACATGGAAAAAGACAAAAGACAAAAATAAATAAATAAATAAAAAATAAAAATATGTGTACTTTTCAGAAATGAAGCACTACCTAGTCTTACTCAAGTTCAAAGAGAAGACATCTATGTTTTGCCACCTTTACAAGACGAAGAAAAACATAGGTAAATGTTTAACTATTTAAGAATATTATTTTAATTATTGCTGTATTCAGACAGATGTAGACCTTTATGTCTTATCTATATGATAAAACGTGGGAATTTATGAATGCATCTGAAACAGCATTCTCTATGCCTTTTAGAATGTTTTTCAAAGACTAAATTTTTTATTTATTGTCTTGGTGTTTTGGTGATTTGTGATTCATTATTCTTTTTCATTCTGAAGAGCTAGCTAGCACTATGGGTTTAAAATTCATGACGACATGAATTTTAGTTGTTCTTACTTTGCTTCCACACACTATCTTTACCTACTTCTCAGCCCAATACTGTCTCTCACAAACACGCTAAAATACCACATACCGTGTCCTTGTTGCTAAATCCAGTAGACGCTTTGCACTTCTCAGTGTACTCAACTTCTCAGCCCCATTTAACACATTCCCTGTGCTGTCCTGTCGTCTTGGCACCTCTCTGGTTGCCCCTTCTCAGCTCCTCGGTGGACCTCTCTTCCTCTGGCTGGCTGGTCATCATCAGTGGTGTCTGTGTTTGAAGCGAAGGTGAGGACCAGAAGCCTTGACAGTTGGTGTCTCCCCCTGCATCCTTGGCTGAACTGCTCACCCCATTCTTTTCCTAGAAGATCCCAATTGACAAAATAGCTTTTGAATCAGCCCATTTCTCTTTAACTTCATCATCCACCACCATTGTCTTTTCTCTAGGTTACTGTAATAGCTTCCAAACTTCTATCTTTCTCTTTGATCTTACCCCATTTGTAGTAACTCTCTCTGCCAAGCCCAATCTCTGCTTTGTTTTATAGAATCTGTTTAAAATCCAAATCTAATATTTTCATTTCCTTACTTAAAACACTTTCTAAGCTTCTCATTTTTTTAGGATAAAACTTTAACTCTTTAATCACATGCTTCTTCAGCCTTGTCCCTTGCTTTCTTCACACTGTTCACTGGCAGGCTTTCTTTTCCCTGTTTCCAGATGTTTATAGAACTTAGTTCTGCCTGGATCACTTTTCTCTACAAACCTCCCCTCGCCCTATGAGACCCTTAACTTACTCGTGGCTAAGTCCAAGCAGTGTGATTGCAGGAGATTCCAGGAAGCTTTTATGCCCCCCATCTTGGGGTGAGATGACTCTCTTTATTGCACCTGTACCAACCAGCTCTTCCTTTGTGGTGGAAGTTATTAGATCGTATTGTGGTTGCCTACTTAGATATGTCCCCCACCAGACTGTGAGACCAGTGGCCAGATCTTGCTGTCTTATTCACCACTCTAGCCCATGTAACTAGTAGCACCTTGCATTCAAAGAATATTTTTATAAGTAGTCATTAAAAATTATAGATATTATAAATGTATGCTTAACTTTCAGTTCAGAAGAAGAAGATGAAAAAGAATGGCAAGAAAGAATGAATCAGAAACAAGTATTGCAGGTATTTAAATAATTTTTGAATTCAGAATGTATTCTGTTATTTAAAATGAAGGACATGAAAATGAATATTATTAATGAGGTAGTATGAATTTATGAAAGTTCCTGATAAAAAGTAAAGACAGATGCCTTTTTTACTGGGTGTGTATTTTTATATATGTGTGCATATGTATATGCGTATGTGTAAAATACCCGTACACATTCATGGAACTTGCAATTATGCATATCTATATATATATAAAATAAGCATATTTGTTTTGCAACCAACCAATCAGCCAACCAATTGACCAACCAATAAATGAATAGTAATACATGCCTATGTAGAGAATATAGAAAACATACCACCTATATATTACTTATAGTAACATTTTGGTATATACTGGCCCAGTATTGTTTTGAATACGTGTGTGTGTGTGTGTGTGTGTGTGTGTGTGTATTTCAGCATATGTATATGTTTCAAATGTACATGTGTACAAAAGTTGTGTATATGCATATCTGTACATATGTTCTAATTGTCTATTGCTGTGTAACTCGGTGCAGAAACATCATTTAATTATCATTCTCTGTCGTTATTTTAGGGGTTGATGAACTCAACTAGGCAGTTCTCTTTCAGGTTCTCCCATGTAGATGCAGTCAGACTAGTTGGGGCTGGAGTCACTTTAAATGCTTCCTCACTTGCATGTCTGGTGGTTGACAGTGGCTATCAGCTAGATCTCAATGCGGCTGGCCACCAGAAAACCTGCATTTGGCCTCTCTATGTGGCCTGGGCTTTTTCACAGCATGGTGGCTGTATTCCCAGGGCAGGTATCCCAAGAGCAAGTTCCAGGCAGAAACTATGTTGCCTTTCTAACCTAGCTTTGGAAGTTATGTAGTACCCTGGTTACGAAGCTAGTTACTGAGGCCAGCCCGTATTTAAGGGGAAGAGAATTAGAAAAGGAGAATGTCAGAGAATCTGTGTATATGTTTTACATCTGTCACCACACATTTAATGAATAGCTTTTTCACAGATTGAGGCTATATCGTACATATAAGCTTTTTTTTTTTTTTTCCTTTTTGTCTTTTTTACTGACCGGCAACGGGATCGCAACCCTCGGTGTTGCACCCGCACCGCGCTCAGCCAGTGAGCGGGAACCAGTCTCCACATGGGATCCAAACCCTCAACGGGAGCGCCGCCGCGCTCCCAAGCGGCGCACTCTCCAGTGCGCCACTGGGCCGGCCCTATATAAGCTTTTTTAATAAACATTTTTTTAAAGTTTTTAGTGTACCAGCTAATATTCTTTGATTCCCACATCACTGTTTTTCTTGTTTGTTATATTGTTTTGGTATATCTGGTAGAAGACTTTTGAGCTAAAGCCTCAGGATCCTTCAATTCATGGAGATTGTACATTATTAATTTTGGTTCAGACCATGGACCTCGTGGTCAGAAAGACCTGCATTCAGTCCGAGTACCACTATTCACTAGCTACGTGATCTTAGACAAATTAATCTCTCCAAAGCTTGCTTGCTTGCTTGCTTTTTTTTTTTCTTTGTTTTTTTTTGTGTGTAAAACGAGAGTGATGCCTTCCTCATGGGGGTGATGGGAGCATTAGTGAAGGAAAGCACAAAAAACGCTGAGCACAATGACGGGCCCGTTCTAAGTGCTTGCTGGTTTTTACATACATGTGCAATACACAGACATACAGGACAGCAAGTTGTGTTATATTTTCTTTACTAATGAAGGGCTTTAAAGTACTTTTGGTATTAGTTAAAATTTAGAAAAATTTTATACTTTTCCATGTGTGTAAATTTCTCACTTTTAATTTCACCTTTGATTTTAGGTTAAGGATCAAATAAAACTAATCTAATTAAGGGAATTATATATATATTGCTGAAATTCATTTCTGCCTCAGGCCTTTTCTGTTTTCTCAGCTTGGGATGCTCTGTCCCTGATCAGGCTCTTTGGTATCTTTCAAGTACCTGCTCACAGTTCCTCTTTTTAGTGGAGTCTTCTCTGTCAAACAAGTCTTTTTCTCTTCTTGCTCTCCTAATCACTCTCTTATCAGATTAGTTAATGCTTTACTTTCTTATTGTTACCTTGTTCATTTATTTATTTGTTTGTTTATCATATGTCTTCCTCTGTCTTAAGAGTAGGAACCTTATCTTGCATGATCTCTATAGTCCTAGCACCTAGAACAGTTCTGGTGCCTTAAATGTGCGTGGTAAGTATTTCTTTTGAATGAGTGAAAGAATGAATGGATACAGTCCCTAATCTGCCTACTCCCTTTGATGCCTAATGCAGATTTTGTGGAATTGTGTTTAGCTTATTGTAGATTATGTGGAACTTTGTTTATCTACGATATAAACACAGTAAATATCTGTAATGGTGAATAGAACTAAGGGTATGAAATGTAAATTTCATGGTGTTACATTTTACTTTTTACAGGAAGAGTTCTTTCATAATCCTCAGGCAATAGACATTGAATCTGAGGACTTTACCAGCTTACCTCTAGAAGTCAAGCATGAAATCTTGACTGATATGAAAGAATTTACCAAGCGAAGAAGAACGTTATTTGAAGCAATGCCAGAGGTGAAATATACAATAGTACATTAATGCTTAGAATTAAGAACTTCAGCAAAACTTTTCACCAGAAAGAAGAGAAAATTGAAAAGCAGTATTTACACAGTATCTCAATTTCTAGTAAACAGCACTTGTGTATCTCAGAGATCCTATGAAGCATCATATAAGTTTGAACTTGTAAAAACTTACTTAAGGAAGTCTTTCTTGACTTTCCACCTAAGACTAGGTCTTTTCTTTTGCTGTGTTCTCGTGGCACCCTGTAACATTGCTTTTATAGCTCTTAGCTCCAAAACATGCCTATCTTGTTCACCTCTAATTTTCAGCACCTAGCTCTAGTATTTTTCACTTAGTAAGTACCCAGTATATGCTTAATGGTTTAATTCTTGGGTTCATTAAAATTATTTTAACCCATAATATACATTGTCCATAAAAACTGATAGTAATATAGAATCTAATCACAGTGGAAAAATATGTTCTCATTTGCAATTCCAGGTATATTTTCCTCTGCTACAGCCCTAGAAATGCTGCTGGATCTCGGCATTCCCTCTCCCTCTATCTGGATAGTGAGAATAGGGCTTCTTCAACTTTATAATCTGATGGTGGCCCTGTAGCCATAGAAAGCTGGAGCAGGGCTGGTGTATGGGGTTGGGTGTTGTGAGTCATGCCCCTGATTATGCTATAGTTAATTACTTCGTTAATGCGACCATTAATTAATCTGTCTTTAGTAGCTGGTGAATGAGTTCTGTTTCCCTTTCTATTACTACCACCTATTATTTCTAGCATAGTTCTCTTTTGACCCACTGTAGAACAGAATATAAATTTTGCAACATTATTACCCCTAACGAATAGATGTAGTTTTTTAAATTTTCTACAAAATTTTGACCATTTCTTAAAGTGATATCAGAAATATGAAAAGGGAGGATATATTTCTTTTCCCATCACTCCCTTCTGTTTTTCCACATAGAATGTGAAGATAGGAAAATACGAAGTTGCACTGAAATGATGTTCTTGGGTCTTTGGGTATACAAAGGACAGAAGTAAATTTATTTCAGGGGAAAGGTCCAGGCTCAGTGTATCAGTCATTTTATTTCTTGAGTGTGAAAGGATCTCTGGGTGGTACTTGAGGAAATAGAATTTTTTCTATGTAAATAATAGTAGGAAGGAATGGGAAAAACAGAGACAGTCCATAATGATCTCCTCTTCCTTAATATCTTTGTGCAACCACGGAGTCTCTGGGATTGGTCCACTAGGATAGTATGGAGTAGCCCCTCACTGGATCTGTAATTTTGATAGAATAGACAAGTTCTGAGTCATCCGTGCTGGACCTTTGTATCATGTGTACATTGTACAAATGTAATATCAGTAATAGTGATGGCAATGATACTAGCAATAGTAATAATCATAATAGTATAGAACCAATTGTAGTAAGTTGATCTGCTTTTGATCCCAGGTCTACCACTGATTAGCCATGTAACTCTGAGGAGGTTACTTAACCTATTTAAGTCTTGATTTCTTCATTTGTAGAATGGAGATAATAATATCTGTTTCATAGGATGATTGTGAGAATAAATGAGGTAGTACATCTAAAAGCACTTAGAAGAATGCCCTCTAGAGGAGATGCTTTATAAATGTTAACTATCATTATTAGTAACTATGATCGCTATGATTCGTTGTGTGTCTTCTATGGGCCAAGGACTATGCCTAAGCATGTTAGTTGCATATTTAGTTGCACTGTGGAAGACTGTCTGTTAAGCCATAATCAGATGTCATAATGACTGCCATGCATACATGCTCAAAAATGTTTTTTGAATAAATGATTAAATTATAAACAGTATTCAGGATTTAATTTGCCCAGTTATTTTTTTTTAGAGATGGTTTTTTAAGAAGGCTGTTATAGTTTTTGGTAGTATTAAACTTTTATAATATGAAACTACCACCAATGGAAAAAGCAAATTGTTCTTTATTCCCTTTTGGGGAAAGAGGTAGAAATATGGTAATATTATCTGTATTTAATATAAAACAATAACTTTATTTGTTTAGGAGTCCAACGACTTTTCACAGTACCAACTCAAAGGCTTGCTTAAAAAAAATTATCTAAACCAGCACATAGAAAATGTGCAAAAGGAAATGAATCAACAGCATTCAGGACAAATCCAAAGGCAGTATGAAGATGAAGGGGGCTTTTTGAAGGAGGTAGAGTCGAGGAGAGTGGTCTCTGAAGACACTTCACATTACATCTTGATAAAAGGTATCAGACACCGTTATTTATTTGACAGTTAAAAACCAAAAATAGGTTGTGGCTCTGAATTCTGTAAACTACCATCCCTGGATAATATTAATAAAGTCCCTCTTATGTAATGACAATTATTTATAGCTATTAATGAATTTACTACTGTGGTGCCAGCCCACTTTAAAATTGACTAATGAATTAACTCCTAGTAGCTCATTAAATGAAAATTTATAAGTTCATTTATGAAAACCAGTATTCTCTTATTCTTCTTACTAGAAGAATATTATTACACCGTAAAACTGCATAGTGAGAAATGTTTTAATTTTTCTTAAGGTATTCAAGCTAAGAAAGTTGCAGAAGTGGATTCAGAGTCTCTTCCTTCTTCCAGTAAAATGCACAGCATGTCCTCTGACATGAAGTCATCTCCCTGTGAAAAACTGAAGCTAGAGAAGGAGCCTGATGCCACCCCTCCGTCTCCAAGAACTCTACTCGCAATGCAAGCCGCCATGCTGGGAAGTAGCTCTGACGAGGAGGTGAAGGGTGAAAATCAGAGGCGGTACAGTAAGAGGCGCATGCCTGCTGCTGCAGACGAAGGCTCCATGTCTCCACGGACTCTCTCAGCTATTCAGAGAGCTCTTGATGATGATGAAGATGTGAAAATGTGTGCTGGGCACGATGTGCAGGCGGGAGGGCCAGGAGTGACAGAGCTGCTTATGGACAGTTCCAGTGAGGACAATGATGAGGGACTCAAAGTGAGAGATGGAAAAGGAATGCTGTCTACCACCGCTCCTTCAACCAGTGTGAACTTCGTAGAGGAGCATGTAGCCAGCACTAATAAGGAAAAAGATGTGACAGACTCAGCTCGTTTGTCTGTCTTTTGTGAAGGCAGTGAATCTCATGTTCCAAAAGAGCAGACAACATTTATTCACATGGTGAATGAAGCCTTTCAGACAAGCAGTGGGTCTGTGGTTAAGGGTAGAAAAGACCCACTTCCTTTAGCAAGCACAGTGGTTGTACACAGTGATGCACCTGGGCTCTTGAGTGGAAGGGCACTGACACCAGCACCTCCAAGTTCAAGTTCTGTGTCAAGGAATGAAACACACACCAAAGTGTTTGAGCTACAGAAAGACCTTTGCCCATCTGCTAGTAAATATGATTCTTCTGTTGTTTCAAGTGATAATGAAACGGAATTTGAACACAGTCCTGCTTCTGAGGTCATTGGCACTGTCAGTTTGCAAGAAACAAGTAAAATAGTAAGTGTCCTTTCAGAGACAATAGGTAACTTAGAAAATGTGGCATCATTTTACGCTAAAGAGCATGAGAATTTCATGAAAACCACACAAGAAAGGGAGACAGTCAAATCTGCAGACCAGGATTTAATTTCAGTTCCAAAGTCAGTGGAAACAATGGAAATCGACTCTGAAGAAAGTGAATCTGACGGTAGGTGCTTGTGCTCTTTCAAAGATACGGAACGGTAGGGTATCACATCTGTAGGAACTGAGAGACCCTTTAGTGCAGTCCCATTCCCACTTTTTACAGATGTGAAACCAGAGACTTGAAAAGAAAGGTGAAGTGACTTTCCTAGGGACACACAGTAACAGCATCTTGACCTTTCCCATTTTGCTATGCTTTTCGTTGTTGTTTTCAAAGGGGGAATGCCCTATTTGGAGAAGGAAAAGGTGAGTTTTCTTTTCATTTTTTTGTAGTTGTTGTTTATTTACTTTTTATTTTGAAGTAACTGTAAACTTGAAAAAGTTTAAAAAATATTACAAAACACTGGTTCCTTCCCTCAGTGGCTAGTGTTTTACCACATTTGCGTTATCATCTCTCTTCCTCTGTCTCTGTCACTCTTTTTTGGGGGATGGGCAGGCAGCTGGCCGGTATGGGGATCTGAACCCTTGACCTTGGGGTTACAAGGCTGCACTCTAACCAACTGAGCCAACTGGACAGCCTACTCTTTTTCTATGTATATATTATATATATCTATACACACACACACACACATATATATATATATACTGTTGATCCTCATTATTCATAGATTCCATATTTGCAAAATGGCCTACTCTCTAAAATTTATTTGTAACCCCAGATTTAATACTCACTGTGATGTGTTGTGGTCTTTTGTGGACATTTGCTGAGCAGGGAAGAATTTAAGTTGCCACAACATCTCCAGTTGAGATTGAGCAAGGCGACGGCCTTGTTCCAGCGTTCCTGCAGGGATGACCAGTAGGGATGGTCAGTGTAGAGCATGAAGCTCCAGCCCTGGGCCCAGGTGGACTGGGTTTGAATCCCAACCCTGGCATTTGTGAGTGAGGCAGCCTCAGGCAAGTCACTCAACACTAGTGAACCTTGTTCCTTGTTTGTAAAATAAAGAAAGTAGAACCTACCAAGATGAGTTGTTTTTAGTGTTTAAGATAATATATATAAAATGTATTTCTATATAATATATATTTCCTCTAGGGTGAATGACTCGCTGTCAGTATTGAGTGTTCGTAGTGACTTTACAGGCCATATCTACTGTCAATACTGAGAATCAACTGTACACGCACATATGCACACGATTTGTTTCCTGGTGTCTGCTAGGTTTCTCCACTCTAAAGGTACTATTTCCTCTTTGTAATTAATAAGTGTTTTGTGGAAAGGAGTTTTTGGGGCTACGTAAGTACGCTGTTCCTGAACAAACTTTCACCTCTTGTTTTGGCATCCACTGATGATTTTTACTTGAATAAATTGTTACTATTGTGGTTGCCAGATGGTGGTTTTCTAACTCCATCATTCCTTACGTATTTACTAGTTGGCATCCTACTATAAAGAAGATCTTTTCTTTCTTTCCCATTTATTATTATTTTTTTTATCAGTGTGGACTCCTGGATTCCTATTTTATTCAGTGAGTTATAATTTAGTACTATCATAATTTATGTTATTGCTTGAATTTTTCCAGCTTTGGCCACTGGGGACACCTTCAGCCTGGCTCCCATGGCTTTTGACAGTTCCCCTTTATATTTTGAGTACTTTCTTACTTTCTGGCTAAAATGTTCCAGGCTTATCTTGTACTTATTCTGCCCTTGCCTGGAACCAGCCATATCACCAAGGAGCCCTGGTTCCTTTCAGTGGAGCATAATGTTTAGAAACCAGGAGCTGGATGGATGCTGAGTGTGCTCACTGTTCCTGGGGTGCCATTGCTTAGGCCTTTTCGGTGACAGAGCCGGGAAATGGATTATTTATGCACATGTGCACAAACACACATGCACGTGTGTGCACAAATCTGTATTTCTATGTCTATCTTCCTGTTAATATCCATGAGTTCACACTGATATCTGCAGTTCTAATCCACTATCCCAGGTTCATTCCAGCCTCCCCCTTCTTTATAATTTTCCTAACAGTGAGGACCCTTGTTCCCATTATCTTCAACGTACTTATCTGCTTTTTCTCTCTCTATTTGCAACCATCTCTCTCTTCCACTGGCTTCCTCTGTAGGCCCAGCCCCTTCCATTGTTCTGATTGTCTCCTCAAACCCAGCTGGTCAGGCCTTGCCAGCTCTCTTTGTCTGAAGGGATGGATTTGTGGAACCAATAAATATTTTTTAAAGAAAAGAAAAAAAAAAACAAGAGAGAAGGGAAGGAAAGTGGGAATAGGAAGAGCTATTTCTCCAGAGTCCTTGTCCAGGATTCTTTCCATTTAGTTCACATCTTTATTCCTTGCTGTGTTCATAGTGAAATAGCATAAAAGCATATTTAACAACCTCCATAATGGTTTATATATTCTCCTTTTTTGTTTTTAATAGTTAATAAACATAATTGTTAATTCTTTTTGAATTTTTAAAACAATGTTAACTTAGAACATGTTTGTATGAAGTTAATATGCAAATCTTTGAGAGTTTGTTTTCTATTTTCAAAGACATTGCCAGTTTATCCAATTGAAAAGGCTTGTTTTGAAGTTATAGACATTTGTGATTAAATTTGTTCAATAGTAATATGTTACTATAACATGTTTTCTGTTATATTCAAATCTTATCTTTTTGGATACAACATTTTTCAGGATCCTTTAGAAAGCTCTTGATAATTTCAGGATAATTTAAATGGTTCAGTTGTAGATGAAATAATTTTATTATTTTGGTACAGGGAGTTTCATTGAAGTGCAGAGTGTGGTGAGTGGTGAGGAACTTCAGGCTGAATCTTATGAAGCTTCCAGATCTCCCTCCGAACAAGGTGAAGAGGAACTGATAGGAACTAAGGAAGAAGAAGCCCCTGGTGACATGGAGAGCCTCCTAAGAGACAACTCTGAAAGTGAGAACTTGCACATTGAGCCACATAAGGAAGCTGAAAAAGATGCAGAGGATTCCTTCAATGAATGGGAAGATATTAATTTGGTAATAATGTAACATTGTTTTAACTTATTGCTAAGGAAGCCAAGTTAAGTAGCTTTTGAGTTTTGAGGAGTTACTGGATGAATCTGTTTTAGCTATTGGCAGTATGTCTTCTTATTGCTGATGGCTCCGTTTTTATGTAGGTTGCTGTCTAGGATAGACTATTTTCCATGTGACTTAGTGAGGGAAACCTAAAGATATTACAGAATCTTGTTCAGAAATCCAAGTGGAATACTTCATAAGGATGAAAAGCTTATTGGTAATTTGAGTCGGACTAAATGCAGGCCTTTTGTAACAAATGAACTTAATTGGATTATGAGTATAATTATCTACAAATGAAAAATTATTTTATAGGAGGAGCTGGACACTCTGGAGAGCAGTCTTTTAGCAGAACAAAATTCACTGAAAGCTCAAAAACAGCAGCAAGAACGAATCGCTGCTACGGTAACAGGGCAGATGTTCCTGGAAAGTCAGGTAGGTGCACTCACCTTGGGCCTCTTCTAACACAGCTGGTTCCCCCTTCAGATTCCCGAAGGGAATGAATTAAATGAGATGTTTGAGCACTGCTCCCCCTTGTGGTCCAGGCCGGTAACGCATTTCCCTGGGGGCTGTGTCTGTCCTTCTGCAGGAACTTCTGCGCCTCTTTGGCATTCCTTACATCGAAGCTCCCATGGAAGCAGAGGCGCAGTGCGCCATCCTGGACCTGACTGATCAGACTTCTGGAACCATCACTGATGATAGTGATATCTGGCTGTTTGGAGCGCGGCATGTCTATAAAAACTTTTTTAATAAAAACAAGTTTGTAGAATACTACCAATATGTGGACTTTTATAACCAGTTAGGTAAGACTTCAGAGTGATTACTTTCTGAAATTGACCTTCAGAATTTCTCTAAAGAATTTTTTCTTTCCAGGGAACTAATTCGGTACATCAGTGGAAATGGTAGGTCTACACAAGTTTTCATGTAAGTGACCTTTTACTTATATAGGAATAGGATTTCTAAAATTAGAAGTAGGAAAATAAAGCTGTAGTATATTTAGATATTTTCTGCAGTTTGATCACCTGACTTGGTTAGATGTTGACTAGTTGAGATCTCCAGAGTGAACCAAAGACAGTACAGGCAGAAGGCAGGTGGGAGTCCCTCCTGCTCCTGGGCCTGTGGAGGTGTTTCTAGCATTGACTGTTTATTCTTTCATTCATCCAGCAAGTATGTATTGAGTGACTCCTATATGCCAGCTGTTCTTGGCAAAGGGGAAACAGCAGAGAGTAAAACAGTCTAGTAGGAGGAACAGATGATAAGCAAATACATAAATCATAATTTGACAGTTGGTGGTATGTGCCATATAGAGAAATATAGCAGTAAAAGAGAGGAGAGAGTGAGCTGCACTCACTGAGAGTGCAGCTGCTGCTTCAGATAGAGTTGTCAGGAAAGGCTTCATGTGAAGGTCACTTTAGGGCAGGGGCCTAAAGGAAATGGCAAGCAGTGCTGTAGATAGATATCTTGGGGAGGACCATGTTAGGCAAAGAGAGTGGTGAGTGCAAGGGCCCTGTGGCAACAGCTTGAGGTGGTGTGGTCCCGTGATGCAAGGAGGCCAGTATGAGTGGACGAGGTGGAGGAGTATGGCAGGAGTTAAGAGAGAGCGTGAAGAGACCAGAATCGAGTAGGGTCTGGTGTGTCGGAGAAAGGATGTGTGTGCAGATTGGTGTGGGATGTAAGAGAGCAGTTGAGGGGGATTACAGTCAGTCCCGAGCAGCTGGAAGAGTGGACTTACCTTCAATAAGACGAGGGAGACTGAGGAAGGGGCAGAGTGGCGTGGGGAGAAAGGAAGAGTTCAGGTTTGGATGTGTTAAATTTGAGATGCCTGTTTGATACCCAAGTGGAAATGTTAAGTCGATAGTTGAATATATGTGACTGGTTCAGAGACATCTAGGCTAGATAGCTAAATTTCGGGGTCAGCGTTTAGAGGGTATTTAAAGCTGTGAGGATGGGTGAAACTTTAAAAATCTTATCAGAGTGCCATTTTTTAAAAAAGAACCTATTTTCAAATAAAAATGATATCTTTGGCTGTGGTATGAGGATATATATCCACACACATATAATTTGTATAATAAAATGTTTATAAATGTTATGTAATAAATCTTTATAAAATAAAAATTTTTTAAATATAGTGATTGTTACTATTATAGGATTGGACCGGAACAAATTAATAAATTTGGCCTATTTGCTTGGAAGTGATTATACCGAAGGAATACCAACCGTAGGCTGTGTAACAGCCATGGAAATTCTCAATGAATTCCCTGGACATGGCCTGGAACCTCTACTAAAATTCTCGTAAGTTCTTTCTTCATTTCTGTAATTCAGATGTGTATATTAATAGCCAGAATAACAAACAGAACTATTATTTATGTCATGAATTGTCACAAGTCATTACTTGTTGAGGGAACAGCAAGAGGTATTGGTTGGGGTTAGTAAAGTTTGTTTTCCCTTTTCTAGAGTTCTGATGAAATCAGACTCAGTTTCTTTTTTTTCATGGTGCTGGGCTTATCCTAGTTCAAGGGTACAAAACCAGTCCTGTGGATTTCATAGCATGTGTTGAGTAGCTACCATATGTCAGACACTGTGCTGGCATCGGGGACAGGGAGATGCATAAGTCGTAGCCTGTGCCCTCAAGGAGCTCCCACACTCTTGGGGTGATGAAGAGGAAAATGTAATTGTGCTTTAGTGTGTTCAGCATTTTGAGAGGTCAGCCAGAAGGGACATGGATATATAATGCCAGGAACTTTACACCCAGAGCTGCTGTCCTGTTTCTCAGCGTGTGAATACTGTGATGTGTTCAGTGGTGGAGTCTCAATCTATGTCCAGAACCCATAAGTGTGTGTATTATTTATATACTTGAGCTATACTGTTCAATTCTGGAGATTCTGAGATGGTAGGAGTTATGAGTATGTCTGTGAAGGTAGTTCTTTCTTAAGATTTGTTCTGGGGAGTTCTGGTCAAGATGGTGGAATAGACAATAGACTGTCCCCTGCATCACTCTCTCCCGCAAATCAACCAGTTTACAACTATAAAAATGTAGCAACAGCCAAGCTGGGGCTGCTGGAGCTCAGGGGAAGAGGAGAGACCTATGGAATTCATGAAGGGGGAGAAGCCACGATGAGAGAAAGAAAAAACTGCTCTGACCATTTTGTGCTGCTGCTGCTTTAAGGCTGGAAATGCTGAGCGCATGGAGCAGGAGCTGGCAGAAGCAGCAGCTGTGCCCTTCAGATGGAGTTGCTTGAAGGCGGCAGGGGAGAAGAGGGCCTTGGTGGCCCCCAGTACAGCAAGACCCTTAATAGGGTTCACGTGGACCGATGCAGGAGCAAGGAGCCAGAACAGCTGAAAAAGGGGAGCCTTTCAGAGGCCAGTGTGTCATCACAAGGGACCAGGGCAGGGCATGTCCCATGGGAAGTGTTTGGAGTGGTGGTGGCGAAGACAGACCCACCGGAAGAACACTGGGACACAGCAAGGACAGCCGATCGGCCCCCCAGTCAGCACAGGACCACTCAGAGGAGACTGGTTGGGAATGCGGAGTTGCATGGGGTGCAGTTTGATGAAAAGACTCAGGCCTGGATCAGAGTTTCTACACAACACAGATCCCCCCAGTCTCTGGAGAGCCAGAAGTACCTATAAGTAACCATTAAACCCTGAGCTGCACAAAAAGCCTTCCCTAGGGAAACAGCAGCAAAGCAGCAATTTAGCTCAACCACACAGCTCAAGTACTGGTTTTCACAGGAAGTTCCCCCATTTTAGAAGTAAGCAAAGGACAACAAATTAGTTCCAGCCCAGGTACACCGCCAGTGCCAAGGAGCGTGCCAAAAACATATCCTCCACGTGGGTGGCCCACCACAGCCACCATAGTAACCACGGCTGCTGCAAAAGTGGCTAGACGTCACAGCCACCACACAGATGATCTGCCAGCCACTGGAGTGCATTGACACAAGGAGAGTCACCAGCAGAGACCAAAGAAAAGAAGAGGATGTCTCTCTCCACAAAGCCCATTCCAGAGTGAAAGAAGCATCATCTGCTCTCTGATAATATTGGGGGACCTGAACATACTTTTCAACATTGGACAGATCGTCCAGGCAACAAATCAACAGAGTAACCATTACTCTTTCAGAGGGAGAGAAGGAATCTAGGGTTATTAGAGGTAGAGGGGAGGGAGAGGGGGATAGGGTGAGATTGGACAAGGGTCATAAAGAATAAGTACAATTTATAACAGTATACATAAAAATATTGATTTGATCCTCATATGTCAGCACTGAATCCCCAAAATATGTATAATCAATTATGATTCAATAAAAAAAAAAAAAATTTGTCCTTGACAGCATCTTTTTTTAAAATTTGAAATATAATTCACATACCATAAAATTCTTCCTTTTTAAAGTGTACAATTCAGTGGTTTTTAGTATATCCACAAGGTTGCGATGGCATCTTTTAACTGTCAGTTTGTGGTAGGTGATTTAATGATCCTGTAGCATTCTCTTTAGTTACATTTCCTATGTTTGAAAATGCTGGGATGTTCTGGTCTGAAGAATCAGTGATTAGAATCAGTGACGTGAAACGCAATTGTAATGCTTGCTGCCCTCCAGTCTTAGCACACGTACCAGTGTGTTTTATTTTATGCTTTCTTTATCTCTCTTTTCATAATTTTCCTAGTGTGGAGGAAATTTCTGTACTGAGGGTATTGTTAGGTAGCTTATAGATCATGGTAGGTAAATAATTTGAAAAACCACAAATTATCATACAAATAATAAAATACATAATAGACATTATAAAATATGGATTAAAAAGATGATTACAGTTAACATTTTGATTTATGTAATTTGGGACTTTTTTGGGGGATGGGGGGAGGGTGGCTGGCTGGTACAGGGATACAAACTCTTGACCTTGCTATTGTAACACCACACTCTAACAAACTGAGTTAACCAGCAGCCCCTTGTAATTTTAGACTTCCTATGCACATGTATACTCATATCATTATATATGTATATACAGAGGTATTATTACATAAGTGTGTGTATTATTTATATTTTTTACAAGAATTGGATTATGGTATATACTTTTTGTTACCTGTAACCCGTTTGGTGATAGAACAAGGTATATTTTCATTAATGTATAGATTTATATCATTATTTTTAATGGCTCCAAGTAGTCTGTTTTTGAGTCTATCAGAATTAATTGACTCAAATGCCTATTGTTATTTCTGGTTGTTTTTTTTTTTTAAGTATTAAACATTGATTTAAGTGTCCTTACCCATTTATCTTTGGGTTCTTATCTAATTACTATTTTAGGATAAGTGAAAAAGGTATCTGACTTTTCAATTTGGCTTCCTAATTACTAGTGAGAGTGAATTTTTTTCATGTTTATTGACATATTGCATTTCTAATTTATTGAATGGCCTGTTTATGCCATTTTTCTTTTCTTTGTTCAACGATTTTTGCTTGTTTGTAGCCTGTGGAATTATTTACAGTTTTTGGAGTCAACTTTAGCAGTTTCTGCTTTTGGTTTTCTAGCTTGTTGATGCCACATAGGAGCAGGCTTAGCCCTGCCTGGCTAAGGAGATTTAAGATGAATGCTGATTGCACACAGGTATTGATATTCAACTCTGTACCCCACTGATATGTACAACCAACTATGTTTCAATTAAAGAAAAAATGAATGCAGAGTTAAAGAGCAAGAAGTGGTAGAAACCAGTAAAATTGAGACTGTTACCTTGCTTTATTTTCTGTGCTCGTCTTCTCCTAACCAGATTCTGGCAAGTCACTCATTCTTTAAAGTGTAGCTATTTTGGGCTCACAGGCTGAATTCAGCCTCAGCTGTGTTTGGTTTGTCCTACACAGTGTGTTCTATAGAGCTTTAATTTTGAACTGGCTACCAACATCTAAATTTGGGGAGGTTTCACAAAAGAATTTGGATTCTTTTGGGGGTGAAAAGGAGATCTGGAAATACAGGGCCCACATTCCCAAATAGCCCCCAAACAGCTGGGATGGCGGAACAGCAGTTCCCCTTCCCCACCCCACCGTCTGTAAAGAGCAATGGTCCTTTGGGCTTGATGAAGTCGCAGTGTTGTGCCGACTCCTGGCTGGCAGTCATGATCACTGCTTCAAAGACGACAGTTCTGAAGTGAAGCGGGGAGAATTATAGGTACCCCCGGTGCACTCTGGGAAACAATGTAAAAGTGACGAAGGAAGATTATTTTTTCCCTTTTGCTTCTTGATTCTACCGTGAAGACTGTAATTGTTTTGTCGCAACACTAGATGGCGCTGCTGCACTGGTGGTGAAGCGCTGGCGGAGACAGTTTGTCCCTCAGTCCCTAATCCGAGTCCGGAGGGGAAGCAGTGGAGCGTCAGACATAGGCGTTTTTTTAGATTCTGTTGAGTGAGGATTACGTTTATGTTTTTAACTTTTATGCCGTTTATTTTTCCTGATTGTGTTCCTTTTTTTTGGCTATCAGTTGCTGCACTACGCACTACTTTAAACTTCAGTGGCTTCAAATAGCAGCCGTCAGTGATTTCGCGCATGGATCTGACGTTTGGTCAGGCCTCACGGTGGGGCCGGCAGGGCGCTGCTCCCGTCAGGAGTCCCTGTCCCGGCTTGTCCCTCCGGCCTCTCGGCGAGCCCGGGCCTCCTCACGGCCGGCGTCGGCCGCTTCCACGGGCGAACGTCCCGAATACGGGACGTGGGAAGGACCGCGTCTGGGCCGCACACAGTGTCGCTTCCTCTCCGTCGCGTTGGTCACTGAGCCACGGAGCCCGCCCGCCTTGAGGGGAGCGACGGGGACCCCGCTTCCGGGTGGGAGGAGCGTCAGAGAACGTGCGGCCGTCTTCAGCGTGCCGTCCTCACGGACGCTGACAGTGGGGAAGATCGAAAAGCGGGTCCGATGTCAGGGAGAAAACGGACAGCTGTGTCCTCGCTTACGACATGGCCCGACAGGCAGGAAGAGAATGGTTCCTGCAGTTAGTTGTTATTTTAAATATCTATTTACTTTTCTTCTTTTTTCCATATATTTGCTTTTTCCCCCAAATTGGGATTATACTTTATGTAGAGTTACGTCCTGCATCCTTAAAATTTAACATAGCCTCGGCATTTTTACATTTTATTAAATATTTTTGGATTCATGATTGCATTTGATTCGAGGTAAGTAATACAGATGCATCAGTTCCATTTTACTGCGGGGAAAAATAACCCCGAGAGGTTGTGACTTCTGTGGAATCATAATCACAGATGTAGGTTCTAGAGGAAGGTTATCAGGGTTCGACTGTCCCAATTCCTGCTGAGAAACCTTCAGCATGTCACTTCTGAGTTCAATTCCTCATCAGTGAGGTGAGGGTGATGGTAAGACTGTTTGTGTGATTACGGGGCACGAAAAATATTTAACACTTTACCAAGCTCAGAGTAACCATTCAATAAATGTTTGCCATCATACACATTGTGGTTAATCATACTAAAAATAATAAAATTAGTGTTCTGTACATCATATAATTTGTTTTGGAGTTAGGACTTGGATTTATATTTCCTAACGTTAAGTTTAGCTTTTTATCTACAGTGCCTGAACTGTAATGAGCTGCTTTATAAATAATCCTTTATTTTATAGAGAGTGGTGGCATGAAGCTCAAAAAAATAAGAAGATCACACCTAATCCTCATGACACCAAAGTGAAAAAAAAATTAAGGACGTTGCAACTCACACCTGGCTTCCCTAACCCAGCTGTTGCGGACGCTTACCTCAAGCCTGTGGTGGATGACTCAAAGGGATCGTTTCTTTGGGGGAAGCCTGATCTTGACAAAATTAGAGAATATCCTTTTGCTTTTTAAATCATCAAGGAACATTGAGCCAAGTATGCGTTTGGCTTAAATCTTACGGAACATGAACTTGGGTCATCTTTGTCTTAATATCCCATTTATCTAAGACTTTCCTTTTAGTTCCTTTTCCCCTCTGCTTAATCTTAAAGAGGATCTTTATTTGAAATAAGCAGTGATTAGCATTCAAAGATCCAACTACACACTTAAGTATTATTTATTCTGAAGAATAAAAAAAATGATTAAGTTTGTCATTTTTATTATTGGTTTCCCTTTCTGTGTATTTAAATAATCATCTGGGTAGATGTTTAAAAACTTGCAATAGAATTAATCTAACTACAATTTTTTTTTCCCTCAAATAAATATGCAGGATATCTGAATCTTGTTTTTATTCCAGGTTTTTTTTTTTTTTTTTTTTCCATAGTCATGAGTTCTTGATGTCCTAAAATGAGAATTGAATATATTTTATCTTAGAGGATTGAAAAGAGGATAGTGCCAGATGATTATGTTGGAGTAATTTGTTTTGATACTCTTTTACCAATCTAATCTTTATAAATATGAAAATCTCTGGAGATACAGGGAATGGAATCAAGGGTGGGTTCTTTGGATCTTTTTATTTATCACTTGTTTATATATCTTTAAACATTTATAAGTCTTAACTGCCTGCATGTTTTGTGAACGATATTTTGGCTGGAACAAGACTAAGACAGATGAATCTCTGTTTCCAGTGTTAAAGCAACTGAATGCCCAGCAGGTAATCATGGCAGGCTCCGTTCCTAAGTTTAGAATGAAGAGTAAACTCAGTACGGCTATGACTGGCAGCTGTTAAAGACCAGTTAACTCTTTTTAGGGCATTTAACATACATTTTGAAATTATGATGCTTTAGATAGGCAAACAGAAAATAGAAAAAGAGAAAAATTGGACTTTGTCTTCATTTTCCATTATCATTCTTAGTGCTAGACTTTGGTTTTTTGTTTTTTGTTTTTTCTTATTCAGTCTCACTTTGAAAAAACAAATCTAATAACTGATTTCACATTAAAGTTTTTCTGATTAAATATATTACCCCTTCAGAGTTATTTTTATTTTTTAAAAGTCTAGGAAGTGTGCATTCCAAAGCAATTCTAATCACTGAAGTTTCTTTAAGTACTAACACTTTAAAATTCTGTAAGTGAATCTTTAAAGGTAGAAATTTGATCATTATTTTATATCAATAAGAGAGATTTTTGTGTACAAAAGAGGCCTTTTGTGTGGCTCTCAGTTTCCCTAGGTAACTGCATCTTGTTTTATCTGTGTGTTTCTACTCACACAAAACAAGCTTTCTGCCACCCCACAAGCAATCCCCCAAACGTACGTACAAATAAATCACTTAGCAGAAAAGAGACCATATCACTTAAGGTAATATATTTAAATTAAATCAGTTCCAATTAGGGTTGAAAAAAACATAAAACTGAGGTAGACAACAATTCTAGGAGTTTCGCCTCATTTGTCTGATGACTTTATCTACTGGAACCATTATAAGCCAACTGAGAAGGAAAGCTATTTGGCTTAGTGACTGGTTATTCCTTAATTTCAGTTAAATTCTGTTGTAATACTTTTCTCCTTTTTTATTATAAAACTTAATATAGGTTTATTTTTCCAAAATTAGAAAGTGAAGAAAATGAATTAAAGCTACCCATTATTATCCTCCTCTAACATACGTGTTAACGTTAATGTTTATTTTCTTTTATTTTCCCACATGTATTTGTTACCATTTGTAAATGAAATTTGGTATATCTAATCCCCCCTCTCTCCACTTATTAGCATAAGATTTTTTCCTATGTATTGCATAGTTTTCATAATTTCAGATGACCATATTCCATTTTATTAGAGATCTAAATTAATTAGCTCAGTTCACATGTTAGGCCTTTAATTTTTGAGTTTTTATAAATAATGCTGTGATGAACATTAAGCATAAACTTTCCCCATGTGTAACTATTTTTTAAGAATATTTTTCTAAAAGTGGATTTGCCAAACAAAAGGCATGAATATTTCTTACGTCTCCTAATATAGAACTTGCCTCCTAAAGGTATTGTGTGGTGGTAATGTTTTTGAAAGAAGTATTTAGTAAGATTTAGAAACAGACCCCATGAAATTGTGTTGCTCCAAATGAAGATATATTTGGCTACAGAAAAACATTTAATGCTCTTTGAGTACCTAAGAAGAGATTTCATATTTGAGATATGGACTGAGGACTTAGTTGACAGGGTTGCATGCGAGTACTGCTCTCAGTATGATTAAGAAACTGACATTTACTGTCAGTAATTCGCTGGGAGAGAACGAGCTTTTGGGAGATAATGATTTAGTATTCTCTGAAGTAATAATCCAATGCAACTGATCAAAGTTGAGTTTATTGATTTTGTTTAGAGACTTTACTTATTTGATTTATTATTATTATCTTTTCTTGTTTTTGTTTTTCCCAGACACAGCCCCGAATTGATTCTTTCTTTAGAGTAGCTCAACAGGAGAAACAAGATGCTAAACGTATTAAGAGCCAGAGACTAAACAGAGCTGTGACATGTATGCTGAGGAAAGAAAGAGAAGCAGCAGCCAGTGAAATAGAAGCAGTTTCTGTTGCTATGGAGAAAGAATCTGAGATACTTGATAAGTCAAAAGGAAAAACCCAGAAGAGAAGCACAGCAAATGAATCAAAAGAGTCATCAAGCCTGAAAAGAAAGAAGCTTTCAGATTCTAAACGAGAGAACAAATGTGGTGGATTTTTGGAGGAGACCTGCCTTTCCCAGTCATCTGATGCATCTTCAGATGAGGATGCTGCAAATTTGTCTTTAATGAACACACAAAAGAGAAAAGCAGTTAAAGAGTCAAAAATCAGCTCTTCAGATTTGCAGAGCTCAGTGAAAGATGCTCATGTAAAGTATGGAGGTGAGACTACAAGCAGCTCCAGTGATGATGATGGAGAGAAGGCCCAGACGGTCCTAGTGACTGCCAGATCTGTGTTTGGGAAGAAAAAAGGGAAACTGAGAAGTACAAGGACAAGAAAAAGGAAAACCTAATTTAAAAATATGTACTCTCGGGCTGAGCCCGTGGCACACTCGGGAGAGTGCGGCACTGGGAGTGCAGCAGCGCTCCCGCCGCGGGTTCGGATCCTATATAGGGATGACCGGTGCGCTTATAGTGCTCACTGGCTGAGCGCGGTGCGGCCGGTCTCAAAAAGGACAAAAAAAAAAAAATGTACTCTCTATAATTAGGTATAACAACATTTTGTAATGAATTTGTTGTGAGTATATAATAAAATTAAGTGTATTTGCGCTTTGTATTTAGTGTGTGTTTTTTAAAAATATAGATGATAAACTTGACAATTATTTATTTTTCACACAGTATGTTGCAGTTTTCGAGTGTGTTTTTCTTCATTGAGTATTTCCTTGCATTCACAGGATTTGTCTCCTCATGTTTCCATAGTCTTACAATGCCTGATGCTTTCTGACCACATTAAAAAAAGAAAAAACAAAAAGGATTTGTATTGATCAGCACTCACTCTCTATATGAATCCCCTCTGACTCTCAGACCTAGACAAGGAGAAAGGTATCCACGTTTCTTGTCCACAGTAGTGGTAGTTCCTACCACCTAAGTCAGTCCTGTTTCCCACTGCTTCCCATCTTCCCTCAGGCTCCACTTAAAAAGATAGCCGGAGGGAACCTCACTTCTGGAATGTATTCGAAGAATATATTTTCTGTGGTTTTAGCAAATAATTAGGAAACCTAAGTGGGGCACATCATTCTACCTGTGAGCATTAACTACGGGAACTTATGTACCATTATGTTTGGCTTTTAAAATACTTCAGTTGTCAGAAGCTGACTTCTGTGTAAACGGATTTGGGGCTCAGGGCTGTAGCTGAATGATGTAGGTGGGTCAGCTTTAGGAGTGACTCACAGGGGTTGATTATTGTTGACACAGGTGTGTGTTCAGAGTGGCCAGCCAAGGTTATTTTAAGATTGCTCTTGCTGAGACCTCTCACAAGAACAACTCCCAAGCTACTGGCTGCTTAGAATTAAGAACAATCTGAGGATAGTACTACCAATTACTTTGAGCTTCGGGTCTTCTGCCTTCAGAGGTGTCTTGCCTTGTCAAGTCTGTCTTTCTGGCACCTTTAGTATTTCCATCTTTCTCAATTTTCCTTTCTTGGCCTTCAAATTGAAAATCTTCACCAGTGAAGACAAAATACAAATACATACCTTCAAACAATCTGAATGACTCCTAGATGTGTTTTTTTTGGTTTTTTTTTGGTGGCTGGCGGGTACAGGGATCAAACCCTGGACCTTGATGTCTGTTTTTTAGGCTGTCACTTATATTTACGTTTTAGCCAAACTTCTCAAATACTTAGACTACAGCTGCTGTTCTTCTTTGCTCATTATTTTTTTCTAATTTGCAATATGTCTTCCGCTTCTGTTAGTCTTCTCTAGCAGCTTTCTTCTAAAGGCAACAGTGACTTTGATGTAAGCTCAAATCTTTCCTTAATGCTTCTTTTCTCTGGAGGCATTTGAAGTGGAACATTTTGGGGGGTGGGGAGGAGGAGGAGAACATTAATTTTTACGTTAGTCCCATTTCTCAAAGCTACTTGTAATTGGGAGTTTCTTTTCTCTCTGTATATGTATTTGTAGGTAGCATAGCAGTTTTGTTAAAAAAATAAATTTTGTTGCCTTTAATAGATAATTTATATTTGTCTTGCACTGCACTAGCTGGGGTAAAGGCTAAGCTGCTGCATCAAAGACATGTTCATATGCAATGGTCTAAATAAACTAGAACATTATTTCTCTCTTACTCAACAGTCTGGCCAGTCTGAGCTGGTGAAGCAGTTGTGTACCACGAACTAATTGTCTTGGGTTCAGCCATTCCCTAGGGTGCTACCTTGCCTGATCTATACTGGGTGACTACTACATCTTTATTTCATCCTGCTGGAAGGGGAAAGGACCAAAGTCCAGGGCAAGCAGAGTGGCTATGTTAAGAGTGATTAGAAAAATAACTTCTGCTCTCATCCTGTTGACCTGAAATGAGCATATGGCTATACCCAGATATCCTCAGAAATGTAATTTCTACCTGGTCTGTGTGCCTAGGACAATGGGGGAAATGGACAGTCAGGACCATTAGAAACATGCCATGAGGTATGATATCTATAGAACAGTTTGATAAAACTCCTATATCCTCTTTTTTTCCAACCCTGTGATCAAGTTACAATCCTTTTACAAGGGAAGACATAAGTTTAGAGACAATAACTGACTTTACCAAATTCATTCATCTAGTAGGTAAAAATTGTGACCTGAACCCAAATCTTTTAACTCACAATTACAGGGTGCTATTTTACCTATAACATTAGGTTGCCAGTGTATTGGGCATACCACCCTGAACACACCTGATCTAGTCTAAAGTTAGGTTCCCTGTTTGAAACAATCAGCAGCAAAGCAAATTTATCATTATTCAAAGCAAGTTGGTGTACCTTAATTTAGGATGAGCATACACTTTTTCTATAAATTATCTTCCAGCTCATTATTCTTTAGTTTTATTTACATTTGCTGTTAAACCTATTTATTGAGTTCTTTATTTCATTTATTATTTTTCAGTTCTTTCTATTTGAGTCACTTTTATAGATTCCAGTTTGCTGGTGAAATTCTTGTCATTTATTTTTTGAACATCTTTATCACAGTTCCTTTAAAGTCTGTGTCAAATCTAATATCTGGGTCACATGTGAGTTTAGCTTTATTATTGGTTTCTTGGTGTGCCTGGTAATTTTGACTGAATGCTGGACATTGTATATGAAAAATTGAGAGGGCTAGCTGGATAGCTCAGTTAGAGTGTGGTGTGACACCACCAAAAAAAAAAAAAAAAAAAAAAAAAAAAAAAGTCATTTATTTTTTGAACATCTTTATCACAGTTCCTTTAAAGTCTGTGTCAAATCTAATATCTGGGTCACATGTGAGTTTAGCTTTATTATTGGTTTCTTGGTGTGCCTGGTAATTTTGACTGAATGCTGGACATTGTATATGAAAAATTGAGAGGGCTAGCTGGATAGCTCAGTTAGAGTGTGGTGTGACACCACCAAAAAAAAAAAAAAAAAAGAAAAGAAAACTTGTAGATGTTATGGACCTTCCTCTAGAGTGGATTCCAGAGGTATTCTGACAGGCAGTGCGGGGGAGATCACCTCAATTGAGTCAGGACCAAGTGGATTCTTGGCTGCCTTGACAGCTCTCTGATACTTTCTAGCAGAGGGGTGTGTGTGTGGGGTGTGTGTGTGTGTGTGTGTGTTTAAACTGCTTTTCTGATTCTTAATAGAATCAGAGGTCTGCTATAAGCTACTTATGGCTGGAGGCAGAAGTCTCTATGTACTTTTGAAAACAGTTCAATTCAATATAACTGAAATGATCATTGTCATCATGTTAGTTAAGATGATTGATTTAGGGATTCCGCTTAAGAAATCTAGCACTGAGGACTGCACGATCTTTTAAATAAATCCTAAAAAAAGGCAAATTATTTTTATTCATCAAGTAATTCTTTATTCTTATTTTAAAAAGAACCAGAAAGACCAATATCTTTGATGAACATAAGTGCAAAAATCCTTAACAAAATATTTGCAATGAGAATGCAGCAGCACATCAAAAAAATTATGCATCATGATCAAGTGGGATTCATCCGAGAGATGCAAGGATAGTTCAACATACTCAAGTCAATAAATGTGATACACCACATCAACCAAATCAAGGACAGAAACCAGATGATTATCTTAATAGATGCAGATAAAGCATTTGACAAAATTCAACGTCCCTTCATGATAAAGACTTTTAGCAAATTAGGTATAGAAGGACAGTGTCTCAACACAATAAAAGTCATATATGACAAACCCACTGCCAATATCATCCTGAATGATAGGACAGGAACAAGACAAAGATGCTCATTGTCACCACTCCTATTTAACATAGTATTGCGAGTACTAGCCAGGGCAATCAGGCAAAAGAAAGAAAGAAAGGACATCCAGACTGGGAAAGACAAAGTCAAACTGTCCCTGTTTGCAGATGACATCCTAAATATAGAAATACCTAAAGACTACCAAAAACTCTTAAAACTGATAAATGACTTCAGTAAAGTTGCAGGATATAAAATCAGTACACAAAAATCAGTAGTGTTTTTATACTCCAATAACAAAGTAGCAGTAAAAGAAATCAAGAAAGTAAGCCCATTTAAAATAGTCTCCCCCAAAATGAAATATCTAGGAATCAATTTTTCCAAAGAGATAAAAATCTCTACAATGAGAACTATGAATCACTGCTGAAAGAAATTAAAGAGGGCACGAAAAGATGGAAAGACATTCTGTGCTCTTCGATTGGAAGAATTAACATTGTGAAAATGTTTATGCCACCCAAAGTGGTACAGGTTCAATGCAATCCCCATCAAAATACCAATGACATTCTTCACAGAAATAGAAAAAACAATCCTAACATTTATATGGAACAAGAAAAGACTCTGAATAGCCAAAGCAACCCTGAGCAAAATAAATAAATAAATAAACAAACAAACAAATAAAGCTGGAGGCATAATGCTACCTGACTTCAAATTGTACTACAAAACTACAGCAATCAGGACAGCATGGTAATGTCATAAAAATAGATACTCAGACCAATGGAACAGAATAGAGAACCCAGAAATCAATCCACATACTTACAGCCAACTGATCTTTGACAAAAGCACCAAGAACATACATCAGGGAGAAGACCGCCTCTTCAGTAAATGGTGCTGGGAAAATTGGACATCCATAATGCAGAAGAATGAAACTGGACCTGCACCTCTTGCCATATACCAAAATCTACTCAAAATGGATTAAAGAATTAAGTGTAAGTCCTGAAACTATAAAGCTACTTAAGGAAAACATAGGAGAAACACTTCAGGAAATAGCTGGGCAAAGACTTTATGAATATGACCCCCAAAGCACAGGCTTCAAAAGAAAAAATAAACAAATGTGATTATATCAAACTAAAAAGCTTCTGCACAGCAAAAGGAACAATTAACAGACCGAAAAGGAAACTTACAGAATAGGAGAAAATATTTACTATGCTTCTGACAAGCGATATATCCAGAATATACAAAGAACTGAAACAACTCAACAGTAAGAAAACAAGTAACCCAATTACAAAATGGGCAAAGGAGCTGAATAGACATTTCTCAAAGGAAGATATACAAATGGCCAACAGACACATGAAAAAATGCTCAACATCACTCAGCATCATAGAGATGCAAGTCAACACCACACTGAGATCTCATCTCATCCCAGTTAGACTTGCTATTATCAAAAAGACAGAAAAGAACAAATGCTGGTGAGGATGTGGAGGAAGGGGATCCCTGCTACACTGATGGTGGGATTGTAAATTAATGCAGCCATTATGGAAATCTGTATGGAGGTTCCTCAGACAACTACAGATAAAACTGCCATACGACCCAGCAATCCCAGTGCTGGGTATTTACCCAAAGGAATGCAAATCATCATGTCGAAAGAACACCTGCTCTCCCACGTTTATTGCAGCTGTATTTACAGTAGCCAAGAGTTGGAATCAACCTAAATGTCCATTGACAGATGACTGGATAAGGAAAATATGGTATATATTATCAGTAGAATACTACTCTGCCATAAAAAAGAATGAAATTCTGCCATTCGCAGGAACATAGATGAACTTAGAGAAAATTAAGTGAAATAAGCCAGGCACAGAAAGAGAAATACCACATGTCCTCACTCATAAGTGGGAGCTAAAATAAAGAAAGAAAGAAAAGAAAGGAAAGAAAGAAAAGAAGAAAGAGAAACAATCACAATAATACATTAAACTTTCAAAAAACAAAACAAAACACTACTGCAGTTATTAGAGGTGGGATTGGGGAGGGATGGGGGTTGGTGAGACACTAGTTAAGGGTCACAAAGATTGACTATGTTTTGTAAACATGAATAAACTAACTATCCTGATTTGATTACCACACCACATATTGTACACGTTTGATACTCGATTCTGTACCTCACAGATATATATAGTCAATTAAAAAAATTTTTTTAAAAAGCTAAAAAGTGAGTGTCCTTTAGGATTTTGAACTTTCCAGAATGTTTTTACCTACTATATTCACCTTATGAATATATATCATGTACCTTTTATATTCCTTTTATAGAAACATACTAAGTAAATGGCCTAAAATCACAAGCTAATTATTGACAGGAATAACTAAAATCGGGCTTCCCGACTCCTACTTCTGTTCAGTATATTAAAGTGACCTTGATTCAACTTTGTATTCAGCACAGTATATAAAGTATTTCTTAGAAGCTCTACTCACACTCCTAAGTTTTACAGCATTGCTTGGTTTTGCTACTTTTAGTAACTGTATATTAAGAATATTTTCAATGACAAGGGAAGTTTATATGTACTCTGAGATGCACACCTGTTTCATGCAGGTGTGCAGATGAATGTGCACCCTCAGCCTGTCCATTCAGCCTGAATCAGAAGGAATCCTGATTTGATTCCTGAGAGCAGAGCAATGCTGTCATATTCTGGTGTGGTTGTTGGATACTAAAAACAGTGTTTACACCGAGAAAGGTGACTTGAAAAATACATGGCCTCCATTTCACAGGACATCATAGCCATGGGATCTTAGAATAACTCTTGGCATCAAAGTTAAAAAATGGATCATTTCCTCCAAACAGTCTTCACTGACTTGCAGGAGTGGTTTGTACTCACCTATTAGCTCTAGCTCTGTTCATGAGGCACTCAGACGAAATATTCCTTCTTCAGCTCCCTTGATTATGGGCATTCTGACCTCTTTGCTGTATCACCACTTGTGCAGAAGCTGCAGCTGTCGGGATCCTAATCCCTCTGCTTGGACACGATGCCAGTGTGTACAGTAGTGAACGGTGTGCTTTGGTGCTAGCATTTCAGGCATGACCAGAGGTCTCTGCAATAAACAGAAGTTTTGGATGATACTTTTTAACCTTCTACAAACTCGGCTAACTCATTTAGGTATGTCCAGACTTAACATTTAATAAATACTAGCCTTCATGCAGACATGTATAATAAAGATTGCTTTCTTTAAGAGATACTAAATTGGGAACAAAACGCGTGACCACTTTTGCTGTTGTTTTAGCTATGTGACCTTGGTGATGGAATTTAATCTTTGTTTTTCTTCGTTTGTAAACCGTAGGGACAATAATTTGTCTCCTAACTTACTGAGGCATGCTTTAAAGAGAAATGTGGTGACTGTGAAAAGTGTTTTGGGATTCTCGGAAGAAAGGAGTACTATATTAATTCCTGGTACTGCTGTGATTATTTATTATGTGATCCCAAATTGAGAAGTAAAACAGCAAATCATTATTTTCCAAAGTTTGAGTAACAGCTCATTTAAGCTTATTCAGATTATTTGCTCTATTTGATAGGCAAAAAATACTTTAATAGTTTTAGTTTTAAATATGTTTGCTGGGATGGTATGGGCTCTTTAAGGTAGAGCTACTCAAAAGACCATGTGGCAGTGAGCCTGTTTGACATCCTGTATGCGCTAATGACACATTGATGCGAACAAGTGAACTTCGCATCCGTTGCTAAGAGGGTTTTTTTTTTTAGATTAGTGTTATGGTTACAGTACCCTGAACAAAACCCATTTTTCCGCAATGTTTTAATCACCTCTTAATTTAGTATTGCTATCTTACTAGTCAGTACGAAGATGATGCCTTTCCTTGTGATAGCTGAGGTAGTCTCTGGTGAAGAATATGCTTTCTTTCTCTAGTGTCTTCTAAGATTTCTAATTCTGAAGCCCTTGTTCTAATTTTGATTTGTACTAGATAGTGTTTAGATGGTCTTTCTTAAATATGCTAGTTTATATGTGGTATTTTAATATAATTTTCTCTGCTAGATGTAAACATTTTTAGGTAAATATAAAAGCACTCAATATACATTTTGAATAATTACTGTTTGATATTTTAATGTATCATTTACCTAGTTTTCAAGAAATGATCAAGAAAATGTCAGTATATAGCCATCCATTAATTCATCACTCGATGGATCCAGAAGCTCAAGAAGGTAAAACGCTTTACGTTTCCTTATGTTTTTGACCAATTCTAAGAAGACATGCAATTGATAGGATATAAAATCTTAACATTGTGGTGTTTATTAATTTCTTGAAGGGAGATAGGACTTTTACCAATTGCATATTAGTATGGTACTTCAAAAAGTTCATAGAAACACAGAATTGAAAGCTAATATGAATCTGTCCATGAACTTTTTGAAGTACCCTCATATGTCTTGGCTTGTGTTTGCTAACCTGCAAATATTTCAAATAATGTTTAATATCTACTGCTATAACACCTATGGTCCTGATATGTTAGACACAAGAAATTAAATATATACACTTACTGAGTATTTAGAGGTTTCTTTGATCTGCAAGTGCTATACACTAAATGCATGATTATGATTTCTAAGTTATTTAATTTCAGATAAGAAGCTTGCAAGAGAGATGAAAATAGTTTTATGTGAAAACTACAATGTGTTTTCAGTATAGTTAGTATATTCAACATTGCACAATATAATCATTTTTGTGGCCTTTTACCAATTTCTCGCTAACCCCTCCCCCCAAATGACTACACTGTGTAATGTTGGATATACTAATTATCCTGAAAAAAATTAATAAAAATAAATAAACTATAACTTTTTTTACTAATGCTTTAACAAAAGATGAATTTAGAATATAAAAACATCTCTAGCCTGTGTTTATGGTCCCTCTGACATAAAATATTGATCAGAGGCAAGTACATAATGTAATTTGACTTTTAGATGTAAGGAGAATTTGTTTGAATTCTACTGCCAATATAGTTATTTGAAAACGACCCACCATTTTTACATAGTCTTAGATATCACATGTGACTTTGTATTGATTATGTAATATAACTATCCCCATTGTCCTGAGATAAAAAGTACAGACATACACTCTTGACATAGACTAGACTAATTACCATGTTTTTATAGAGCACTTGTAATACAAGGCTAATTATCTTAGTTTCTTTCTCGCTCTCCCTATCTAAATACATTAGATATTTTCTAAGAACTATAGTCCTGTTTTTTCCCCCTTTTTTAGGCTTCTACCTAGGTGAGAGTATCTTTAGGCCAAGAGAGCTGGGTGTGTGCCCAGTGTTGGCAGCCTATCTGGCTTAAACATGAATGGTTTTATTGTAGCAGTTCTTGCAAACCTAAACATTTAAGTTGTAATCACTTAGAAAATCCAGCCATTTGAGTGAAGATGCAATTTCTGTGTGGTTTATGAATACAATCACTTCATTATCATTACCATTAATAACAATTCTTGGTTTCAACTGTGCACATGATAATTTGGCAAATTACAAAGGAAATGGAAGAAGTTCAAGGTAAGGTTGAGACAGAACTTGTATTAAAATATTTTATAACATGAACAAATACACCCCATAATCATCTATATAACCAATTAAAGCTTTAAAGATATGTTCACAAGCACAGTGCTAAGGGGATTGTGTGTGTGCTGTTGGAGCAGAGTCAGATGGCATTTTGTTGGAAAGGCTTCCATGAAGTAGTGGAACACTCAGTTCCCAAGTACTGAGGATATTGACTTTTCCTGTCCTTACTCTTTTATACTTTGTATCTTGTGCTTGCAAAGGATGGAGCAAACCCATAACTCAGTTCTCATATTTCAACACTGGAATGAAGATCCAGGAATTATAGGATGTCACTTATTTATACACAGATTAAAATTAGGACTATGGTACGTGCTAAAAATTCGTCTGTTTATGTTTCTAATGCTACATTATAACTTAAGTTGTCTAAAACCTCATCCACATTAACTATTTCAAATATTCTATGTTGTCTACCTCATGCTAACAGCCCCTCTCCAGCTGTTAGCACATGTAGCAATGTGTTATAAAATAGCAGGGTTTTCTGAGGGGCTGCAGCCTTGGAGCAGATTCATCCTCACACGAATTTCAGTGATTCCTGTGTACAATGACTCCCAAATCTGTCACTTGAACTGCTTACTTTTTTCTTTTTTTTTTTTTTCAAATTAAGAAAAAGTTTACTGACATATTGGAAAAGTAACTGGCCTTGATTTTGAGCTAGAATCACATTCTGGGTAGGAAAATGTGAAAGACATCATAAAAAGTCAAATGCTTTTGTATTTTTAAAAAAATGATTATTCATATTCATGGAACACAGAGCTGATTGTCAGCATCTGTGCCCAAGATGTGATGATCAGATCAATACTATCAGCATGCCCACTACCAAAACTGTAATTATTCCCCATGTTCCTCAATCAACCTCTCCCCAACCTCACTCCCTTTCCCACCCTTCCTTCCCTCCCCCTGCTGACAACCCTAGATCTGTTCTCTCCCCTGAAAATCCAGTGCACCACTATGGTCTTTCCTTCCTATTTTCTCTCTTAGTTCCCACTTATGAGTAAGAACATATGGTATTTTTCCCTCTGTGCCTGGCTCATGTCACTTAACATAATTTTCTCCAAGCTATCCATGTTGCTGTGAATGGCAGAATTTCATTCTTTTTTATGGCTGAGTAGTATTCCATTGTCTATATATACCATATTTTCCTTATCCAGTTATCCATTGATGGACATTTACTTTGGTTCCATATCTTGGCTATTGTAAATAGGGCTGTGATGAACATGGGAGTGCATGTATCTCTTCTACATGGTGATTTCCATTACTTTAGGTATATACCCAGAAGTGGAGTTGCTGGATTGGTGGTAAATCCATCTATAGTTGTTTGAGAAACATCCATACTGTTTTCCATAGTGGCTGTACTAATTTAAAGTCCCGCCAACAGTGTAGAAGGGTTCCCTTTTCTCCACATTCTCCCCAGCATTTGTTATTCTTAGTCTTTTTGATAATAGCCAGTCTAACTGGGGTGAGATGATATCTCAATGTGGTTTTAATTTGCATTTCCAGGATGATTAGTGGTATCGAGCATTTTTTCAAGTACCTGTTGGCCATTTGTGTGTCTTCCTTTGAAAAAAGTCTATTTGGCTCCTTTACCCATTTTTTAATTGGGTTGTCTTTTTTAGTAGGTAGTTGTTTGAGTTCCTTGTATATTCTGGATATTAATCCCTTGTTGGATGTATAGTTTGCAAATATTTTCTCCTATTCTTTAGGTTGTGTTCTTACTCTGTTGATTGTTTCCTTGGCTGTGCAAAAAATTTAGTTTGATATAATCCCATTTATTTAGGTTTTATTTTGTTGCCTGTGCTTTTGAGGTCTTATTCATAAAATCTTTGCCCAGTCCTATTTCCTGAGTGTTTCCCCTATGTTTTCATTGAGGAATTTTATAGTTTCAGGTCTTATATTTAAGTCTTTAATCACTTTTGAGTTGATTTTGGTATATGGTTAAAGGTACAGGTTCAGTTTCATTCTTCTGCATATGGATGTCCAGTTTTTCCAGTACCATTTATTGAAGAGGCAGTCTTTCCTCCAATGTATGTTCTTGCTGCCTTTGTCAAAAATCAATTGGCTATAAGTATGTGTTTTGATTTCTGGGTTCTCTATTCTGTTCCATTGGCCTGAGTATCTATTTTTATGCCATTACCGTGCTGTTTTGGTTGCTTTGCAGTATAATTCAAAGTTAGATAGTGTTATGCCTCCAGTTTTCTTTTTTTTTTTGCTCAGGGTTGCTTTGGTTATTCAGGGTCTTTTGTTGTCCCATATATGAATGTTAGGATTGTTTTTGCCTTTTCTGTGAAGAATGTCATTGTTGTTTTGATGGGGATTGCATTGAACCTGTAGATTGCTTTGGGTGGCATGGACATTTTCACAATGTTGATTCTTCCAAATGAAGAGCATGGAATGTCTTTCCACCTTTTTGTGTCTTCTTTAATTTCTTTCAGTAGTGATTCATAGTTCTCTTTGTAGGGATCTTTCACCTCATTGGTAAAATTGATTCCTATGTATTTTATTTTTTTGGTGACTATTGCAAATGGGCTTATTTTCTTGGTTTCTTTTTCTGGTAGTTTATTATTGGTGAATAAAAATGCTACTGATTTTGGGCCGGCCCGGTGCCGCACTGCTACAGTGCACCCCTTGGGAGTGCGGCGGCGCTCCCGCCGAGGGTTTGGATCCCACATACAGACCGGCCGCTCACTGGCTGAGCGAGGTGCGGGCGCAACACCGAGGGTTGCGATCCCGTTGCCGGTCCCAGTCCGGTACGGGCGCGACACTGAGGGTTGCGATCCGTTGCCGGTCATGAAGAAAGACAAAAAGGAAAAAAAAATGCTACTGATTTAGGTGATTATTTTGTATCCTGCAACATTACTGAAATTGTTAATCAGCACTAAGAGTTTAATGGTAGAATCTTTAGGCTTTTCTATATACAGGATCAAGTAATCTGGAAACAGGGACAGTTTGACTTTTTCTTTTCCAATCTGGATGCCCTTTATTTCTTTCTCTTGCCTTATTGTTCTGGCTAGTACTTCCAATACTATTTTAATGAGGAGCGATGAGAGTGGGCATCCTTGTATTGTTCCTGTTCCAGAACACCCACTCAGGATGATATTGGTTGTGGGTTTGTTGTATATGGCTTTTATTGAGTTGAGATACTTTCCTTCTATACCTCATTTGCTGAAAGCCTTTATCATGAAGGGATGTTGAATTTTTCGAATGCATTTTCTGCATCTATTGTGATAATCATATAGTTTTTGTCCTTGATTTTGTTGATGTGGTGTATCACATTTATTGACTTGCATATGTGGAACCATCCTTGTCTCCATGGGATGAATCCCACTTGATCATGGTGTACAATTTTTTTGATGTGTTGCTGTATTCTGATTGCTAGTATTTTACTGAGGATTTTCTTTGTGTCTATATTCATTAGAGATATGGCCTGCAGTTATCTTTTTTTGTTGTTGTATGTTTGTCTGGTTTGGGTATCCAGGTGATGCTAGCCTCATATAATGAGTTTAGGAGAGTAGCCTCTGTTTCATATTTTTGGAATAGTTTGAAGATAATTGGTGGTAATTCCTCTTTCAAGGTTTGGTTGAATACAGGAGTAAAGCCATC